TCATGATTTTAAAGCTTATCAATGTTCATAAATAATAACAAGCTTTGATTCTAAGCTAGTTGACAGTAGTTATCATAGCTAAAATGCTCAAAATTCAGCATAGAATTTTTTAAAGTTTTACCGGTTGAATTGAGTTTAAATTTTCGAAATAAATTTCGAATTTTTTGAAGCCAATTTCGAATTTCTTCGAAATGAAATGACGCAAGTCTGTTATAAATGATAGAGAATGCTGATATAGATTTAAAATCGATATATTTTTGAAAATAGCCTACTTTGATCAAAACCAAAAATGCTTTAAATTGCATTTTAAAACTTATCTAGGTATTATAAATGATAAATAATGCTAATATAGATATAAAATCAATATTTTTTTGAAAATAGCCTACTTTGATCAAAACCAAAAATGCTTTAAATTGCATATTAAAACATATCAAGGTATTGTAAATGATAGAGAATGCTGATATAGATATAAAATCGATTTTTTTTTGGAAAATAGCCTACCTTGATCAAAACCAAAAATGCTTTAAATTGCATTTTAAAACTTATCTAGGTATTATAAATGATAAATAATGCTAATATAGATATAAAATCGATATTTTTTTGAAAATAACCATGATCGAAACCAAAAATGCTTTAAATTGCATTTTAAAACTTATCAAGGTATTATAAATGAAAGAGAATGCTGATATAGATATAAAATCGATATTTTTTTGAAAATAACCATGATCGAAACCAAAAATGCTTTAAATTGCATTTTAAAACTTATCAAGGTATTATAAATGATAGAGAATGTTGATATAGATATAAAATCGACATTTTTTTGAAAATAGCCTACTATGATCAAAACCAAAAATGCTTTAAATTGCGTTTTAAAACATATCTAGGTATTATAAATGATAAATAATGCTAATATAGATATAAAATCAATATTTTTTTGAAAATAGCCTGCTATGATCAAAACCAAAAATGCTTTAAATTGCATATTAAAACATATCTAGGTATTATAAATGATAAATAATGCTAATATAGATATAAAATCGATATTTTTTGAAAATAGCCTACTATGATCGCAACCAAAAATGCTTTAAATTGCATATTAAAACATATCTAGGTATTATAAATGATAAAGAATGATAATCTAGATATAAAATCGATATTTTTTGAAAATAGCCTACTATGATCGAAACCAAAAATGCTTAAAATTGCATATTAAACATATCTAGGTATTATAAATGATAGAGAATGCTGATATAGATATAAAATCGATATTTTTTGAAAATAGCCTACTATGATCAAAACCAAAAATGCTTTAAATTGCATTTTAAAACATATCTTGGTATTATAAATGATAGAGAATGCTGATATAGATATAAAATCGACATTTTTTTGAAAATAGCCTACTTTGATCAAAACCAAAAATGCTTTAAATTGCATATTAAAACATATCTAGGTATTATAAATGATAGAGAATGCTGACATAGATATAAAATCGAATTTTTTTTGAAAATAGCCTACTTTGATCAAAACCAAAAATGCTTTAAATTGGATTTTAAAACATATCTAGGTATTATAAATGATTAAGAATGCTAATATAGATATAAAATCGATATTTTTTTGAAAATAGCCTACTATGACCAAAACCAAAAATGCTTTAAATTGCATTTTAAAACATATCTAGGTATTATAAATGATAAAAAATGCTAATGTAGATATAAAATCGATATTTTCTTGAAAATAGCCTACTATGATCAAAACCAAAAATGCTTTAAATTGCATATTAAAACATATCTAGGTTTTATAAATGATAGAGAATGCTGATATAGATATAAAATCGATTTTTTTTTGGAAAATAGCCTACTTTGATCAAAACCAAAAATGCTTTAAATTGCATATTAAAACATATCTAGGTATTATAAATGATAGAGAATGCTGATATAGATATAAAATCGATTTTTTTTTGAAAATAGCCTACTTTGATCAAAACCAAAAATGCTTTAAATTGCATATTAAAACATATCTAGGTATTATAAATGATAGAGAATGCTGATATAGATATAAAATCGATTTTTTTTTGGAAAATAGCCTACTTTGATCAAAACCAAAAATGCTTTAAATTGCATTTTAAAACATATCTAGGTATTATAAATGATAAAGAATGCTAATGTAGATATAAAATCGATATTTTCTTGAAAATAACCTACTATGATCAAAACAAAAAATGCTTTAAATTGCATATTAAAACATATCTAGGTATTATAAATGATAGAGAATGCTGATATTGATCAAAACCAAAAATGCTTTAAATTGCATATTAAAACATATCTAGGTATTATAAATGATAGAGAATGCTGATATAGATATAAAATCGATTTTTTTTTGGAAAATAGCCTACTTTGATCAAAACCAAAAATGCTTTAAATTGCATTTTAAAACATATCTAGGTATTATAAATGATAAAGAATGCTAATGTAGATATAAAATCGATATTTTCTTGAAAATAACCTACTATGATCAAAACCAAAAATGCTTTAAATTGCATATTAAAACATATCTAGGTATTATAAATGATAGAGAATGCTGATATAGATATAAAATCGATTTTTTTTTGGAAAATAGCCTACTTTGATCAAAACCAAAAATGCTTTAAATTGCATATTAAAACATATCTAGGTTTTATAAATGATAAATAATGCTAATGTAGATATAAAATCGATATTTTCTTGAAAATAGCCTACTATGATCAAAACAAAAAATGCTTTAAATTGCATATTAAAACATATCTAGGTATTATAAATGATAGAGAATGCTGATATAGATATAAAATCGATTTTTTTTTGGAAAATAGCCTACTTTGATCAAAACCAAAAATGCTTTAAATTGCATATTAAAACATATCTAGGTTTTATAAATGATAAATAATGCTAATATAGATATAAAATCGATATTTTTTTAAAACAGCCTAATATGATCGAAACCAAAAATGCTTTAGATTGCATATTAAAACAAATCTAGGTATTATAAATGATTAATAATGATAATCTAGATATAAAATCGATATTTTTTGAAAATAGCCTACTACGATCGAAACCAAAAATGCTTTAAATTGAATTTTAAAACATATCTAGGTATTATGAATGATAAAGAATGATAATATAGATATAAAATCGATATTTTTTTAAAATAGCCTACTATGATCGAAACCAAAAATGCTTTAAATTGCATATTAAAACATATCTAGGTATTATATAATGATAATATAGACATAAAATCGATATTTTTTAAAATAGCCTACTATGATCGAAACCAAAAATGCTTTAAATTGCATATGAAGAATGCTAATATAGATATAAAATCGATATTTTTTTGAAAAAAGCCTACTATGATCAAAGCCAAAAATGCTTTAAATTGCATATTAAAACATATCAAGGTATTATAAATGATAGAGAATGCTGATATAGATATAAAATCGACATTTTTTTGAAAATAGCCTACTATGATCAAAACCAAAAATGCTTTAAATTGCATATTAAAACATATCTAGGTATTATAAATGATAGAGAATGCTGATATGGATATAAAATCGACATTTTTTTTGAAAATAGCCTACTATGATCAAAGCCAAAAATGCTTTAAATTGCATATTAAAACATATCAAGGTATTATAAATGATAGAGAATGCTGATATAGATATAAAATCGACATTTTTTTGAAAATAGCCTACTATGATCAAAACTAAAAATGCTTTAAATTGCATTTTAAAACATATCTAGGTATTATAAATGATAAAGAATGCTAATATAGATATAAAATCGATATTTTCTTGAAAATAGCCTACTATGATCGAAACCAAAAATGCTTTAAATTGCATTTTAAAACATATCTTGGTATTATAAATGATAAAGAATGCTAATATAGATATAAAATCGATATTTTTTACCACGTTATCACGTTTTTATTAACTTGCTTTCTTATCTGTTTGATTTTCCGCGAAATTTAAAATCTTGCGATTGATTTTTCGACCACTTTTACTGCTCTAATCGAGCTGAAATTTTGCATGCACTTGTATATCCGATGACATTGCAATATCAAGCTTTTGTGGAGCTTAGAAATGCTTAATCATAGTAAAAATCATATAAATTATGAGAATAATTCAATGTCAACGATGAAACTGTCAAATTAATCGATGTTGCTTAATGAATCATTATGTACTGAAACAATTAATTAATGTAGAATTTTTTTTGTACATTTTGAGAATTCTGACCAGAAAACATTTTCAGCAAGTCATTTTCTCTTGGAAATTTTTGATGAATATTTGAATTTTGAAAAACGATGAAATTTGAATTAAAAACTGTTAAACTCAAATCTGTGAATCAATACAAAAATTTAATCGATTTTTACCACGTGGATCGATGGAGACTTTCAATGGTTTAGTTCTAGTTTACAAACTTATGCTGTGCTATCGCACAGCTGATCAATGAAAACTTTCAATGGTTTGATTCTAGTTTACAAACTTATGCTGTGCTATCGCACAGCTGATCAATGAAAACTTTCAATGGTTTGATTCTAGTTTACAAACGTATGCTGTGCGATAGCACAGCTGATCGATAGATACTTAAAATAATTTTTTAAAACTAAAGAGTAGAAAATAAATACTTTTTAAAAAAAACTTTTTAAAAAACCACGTTTTTACCCGTGGACTAAAAATGAAATTTAAGCTTTCCAAATATACAATATTAATGAATGCGCCCACGTTTTAAGATGTAGAACTATACGATATGGTCAAAGTGAACAAATTTGCAATTCATGTATGGTCATGACTTTAGTATGAAACTTTCAAATCAATCTCAAATTTTCAAACCAATATCCTTTGAACCCAATAAAAAAGTTATTTTCTACTTTTTAGTCCACGGGTAAAAGCTTGGTTTTTTAAAAAGTTTTTTTTTATAAAGTATTTATTTATTTATGACATAAAAAAACTTTTAAAAAAATCCTTCTTTTAGATTCATATAGACCAGAAGATGCACAATTTTTCACATTGAATAGTTCAACAAAAGTTTTAAGATTAAATAAAATGTTGGATAGAGAAGTCGTTGATTATCATTCAATAAGGATTATCGCCAGCAATAAGGAAACAATGCCAGACTTAAGATTTGTGTCTGATAAAGCTTTGTTGTATGTTGAGGTTGACGTCGATGATGTAAATGATAATGCACCTAGTTTCATATATGAACAATATGCAGTAGGCATATCTGAACGCGACAATCTTGAGAAGAATTTACTAACGTTAGAAGCAACAGATCCTGATTTATATGATGTCATTAATTACAAAATATTAAAGGATACAATAGAAACTTCTAATAGTGAATTGATGTATTTAAAAGATTCGGCGTTCGTTGTAAATTCGATTTCTGGTGCTTTGCTTTTAAATTTTGAAGTTAAGTCAACAATGAGTGGATACTTTACTTTTCAAGTTGAAGCATGTGATTTAGCTAATCATACAGACACAACAAATATCAAAATATTCATTGTAGCAGAACTGAATCGTGTAACTTTTTCATTCAAGAATACTGTGGATGAAGTTAAAGCAGCAGATCAACTAACTTTAGCTCAGATATTTGCTGATGCATATAATGCAGAATGCATTATAGATGATATTTTACCATATCAAACTTTAACAGGCATTGTGGATGAAAAAGAAACAAATTTTCGAGTTCATTTTGTCAAAGATAACGAAGCAATAAGTGCGGAAGAGATCAAACAGTAAATTTTGTTTTCTGAATGATAAAATTAATATAATTCTACATTTTCTTCTTTTTTTAGACGTTCATCTGATATTTCATTTATTACTGAATTAGTGTCAACACTGAACACAAGATTAGCTTTAACTTTGAAAGGCTTGCCTACTTATAATAGTGGAAATGATATTAATAATGTTAACAGTAAAATAATGGAAATAATTTTAGCAATTGTTGCTGGAGTCTTGTGTATTTTACTAGTTGCCGTGATTACACTTTATACGACTCAAAGGAGAAGTTTTAACAGACAACTTAAGGCATTATCAGAACAGAAAAGTGACATTGATTATCAGAAATTTCAAAATGTCAAGGCGCTACCAAATACAAATATATATGCAGGAACAAACAACCAATTCAATCCAGTCATGATACGCGATCTTGAGGAAACAAAAAATTTTGAATCTAGGAGCATTGATTCAAACGATTCCGATGATTTTGCAGATTTGTCTAAAAATCAAATTTTTAACATAAGCTCAAAGATTGATAGCTCGTCAAGTGTATGAGCTCAATAATTATAAATGATGATAATAAATACTATGTTTAAAAGAAAATATTTTATATTTCCATTCAACTAAAAACAAGGAAAAGCTTTTTCTCAGAAGCTAGTGTATGCCTTCTTTAACTCGGAAGCTAAATTTTTTTGGCTGGGTTGAAAGATGCGAAAGAATAGAATAACATTTATTACAAACGCAAGCACAGAAGTATCAATCTTAAATTGATATTTTTTTTAAGTTTTGAATAGTACGCCTTTCAAAAAGCAATAAGTTTTTTTTCTTATTTTTTCTCGAAAAGTTGTGTTAAAAAGAAAGATTATATTAAGGAAGAATGGAGAGTAAGTGATTCTCTTGTGAATTTAAGTAAAAAAATATTTGTGTGACTAATTTTTTCATGTAAAATCGATATTTTTCTGGTTTTATTTAACAGCAAACGAAATTGTGAATGAATTGGAAAAATTATCAATCACTAATGATGTTTTGCGCGTTGAAAATATATTGGAGAAGTTGCTGGAAATTCCATTAGACACATATTCATCACTTGACGTCAAAAATACCTTTCTAGATTTATTATCAAAAAACACACCCAACATAAATCTTTTGATTGTCAAGTGTATTGCGGAAGCTACTAAAAATCCAAACCAACGAAATAAATTCTCAAATGGTGATATTTTAGAAAAACTAATTGATATGTTGAATGTAGCATTATTAAAACGAAATATAGAATTAATTTCCCAATTGTGTCGTGCATTGGGCAACATATTTTATTCTAATGATGATTCAAGAAATATCATATTTCATTATGATGGCGGAGTGGCTCTTTTTAATTTGTTGGATGTTTCAAATAAGGAAATTAAGACTCTTGGTGATTTGCAAACATTTTCAAAACTTAGAAGTGGTGTTCTCTCGAACTATCTTTTAGGAAATGAGGAATTGAGTCAAAAGGCCATTGAAATGAAAATTATTGATAAAATACAGACTAGAATTGATGATGCTTTGAATCCATACAACGATGCATTACTGGAGCATTTATTGCCACTTTTAAGTATCTTGACTGAACAAGTATCTGATTTAATCTTCAATCCCGACATAATAATTTGCATTGCTAAAATTTTCAAACAATCAGCAAGTGCAGATGTGACAGAATCCTGCTTGGAATTATTTCAGTGCCAAGCATGTGAAAATGACGAGATAAAGCTACTTTTAGCACAACAACGTGTTTGTGAACATATCTTTGAATCGCTTGAAAGGTACAAAACTTTTTCTGGAAATGTAGACTTTAGAAGCTTGACAAAACTCTCGTGTGATCTTATTGTTTTAATCCTGACTGGAGGTAATTGATTCTGTTTTAGATTTATGCGTTAGATATTTATTTTTTTTTTAAAAAAAAAAACTAGATGAAGCAATGCATTATTTAGACGAAACACCTTTACTATCGTTAATTCAGCAATGGCTTGATTCAAGTGATGAATACTTGGTCACTACGAGTGTCCTGGCTTTAGGAAATTTTGCCAGAACTGACAACCATTGCATTAAAATGGTTAAAGATAAGGTATTATTGAAACTCATCGATATTTTGAAAACTAGTATTGTGCGTGAACCGTCTGATGTTGATTCACGCCTTCAACATGCATTAGTGAGTAATTAAATTTTAAGAAATAAATGAATAAATGTGATAAAAATTAAACAAATTATAGCTAAGTGCCATCAGAAATCTAGTCATTCCAAAGGAAAACAAAAAGGCAGTAATTGAGTCAGAATTACTTGAAATCCTGCTTCCAATGTTAAATGATCAACAACAACCGCCTGTAGTGTTTAAGGTGTTTGGAACATTAAGAATGTTAATTGACGGACAAGATGAATTGGCATTAAAAACTTTAAGTGATGCAAATATAATTGAAAAATGCATTGTATGGGCTAAGAAAAGTCCAGATATGGTTGGTGTGAACAGTGAGGCATCACGATTATTAGCGTGGCTCATCAAAAATGCTTATCGATTAAAAAGTAATGAAGGATTAAGCTCAAAACCTTTAGAAGCATTTATATCTGTCGATGGTAGTGTAGATGTGCTTGTTAAAATGTTATCATCAGCACATGTCGTTATGCAAAATGAAGCAGTTATTTCATTAACAATTATTGCCATGTTAATTCATAAACACCGTGCTTTAAGCCAGATGCTTATCGATGCAAATATTGCAGATGCAATTTTAGATTTTATTTGCCGAATTTCGGAAACTGAGAGAATCACGAACGAAATTATTGACAATTTGAGCACTTTAATAACAGTTTTGAAAAAATCAGATGAGATGAAGAACTATTTTGATGAAAAATCAATTAACGAGAAAACGATTCCAAGGATACAGGAATTGGCAACTTTGTAAATTCAAAGACGTTTATGTGTGTTTGATTTTTTTTTTATAATAAATTTTTTATTCGGAAAAATACTAAAAGTCTACATTACTGAATTGTTTTTACTTGTTTGGAAAGTCACGATTTTGTGTTATGTATTCTGGATAAACAATTTGTCCCGATGCTGTAAAAAATGTTTGGGTAGGAGCTTGTGTAGATGGCGGTACTGCCGACGATAACAAGCGTCTGTGAAGAGCAAAATCTTGTTGAGGTGTAGGAATTTTCTCAATCGAAATCGAGTTCGTTTTAGATTGTTGCGATGAAGTTTGCTGCTTAACTAGCTGTGGCGTCGGATCATTATGAGGGATTAATATTGGATGTGATGGAACAGTTTGTTGAATATATCCTCTGTTCGGTACATTAGATATTGGCCATCCTTGATGTGTTTGTGATTGAGCATATTTTGCGGGATTGTACCATAAGCGATTTCCAGTTATACCCGAATCAGTTTCTAAAAAATAAAAAGTATTAACTTATAAACAATATTAATTATTTTAATGTTAATGGTTTGCCCTACTTGGCGGCAAGTATCTTTGGGTTTGTCCACCATGTTTGTAATAGTCAGCTTGATTAACTGGTGAGTGGGGACGTTTAACACCTCCTTTGTCATTGCTGCTGTATGGTTGATAAGCAAGTCCAACATCATTTCTAACATTTACAATTTCTCTGTAAATAAAAGTTATTTTGTCAGTACAATCTACAGTACCGTTCAAAACTGTTTCCATGTTTCATGAAAATTTTTCTTTCTAACATATTTCTTATAAAACGTAATATTTTCCCAACATGTTATATATCGTTTTAAAGCTTGTTTAATAAGCTAATTAAAGTAGATTTTTTGCTTAAAATATACACTGTCACATCGAAACACTTTTGAGCTAATAACTGTTTTTCCAAATTTTGATACATAGCAGAACTAATTGATTAAAGTTTGTATATTATAGTAAAAAGCAAGTAAAATATTAGATAAAAGCACATAAATTAAGTTACTAGACATAGTTAAAATATTTATATAAGAATGTTAAATCACATGATAAATTTTCACATAATTTTGCAAAAAATTACTGAATTAAAGCCAAATGTTGTGACATTTGCATCCATACAAATGTATTTTAGCTAATTAAATCTGAAAAACAGTTTTTAATTGTAAATAGAAGCATTTGAAAGCAAAAAAAAAGATAAGATTTCATGGAAACACTTAAATTTTTTTACTTACAAACACAAACATTCAAAATTTTTTATTACTTCCTCCACTTCAAAGAACTTTAATCGCTTTTTCTGATAGATTTTATGTTAACAAAGATAACCATATATGAATTATGTAGTCATTGTGAGAGTAAAAGGATGAACCAAAATCTAGTGTACAGCGAATCTGTAGTAAGTCGTAAAACTCCTAAACTCAAGCTACAAACTAGCTTTTACGGTTAGCCGTAGTGTTTCTGTATCAGACCCTATCAGACAGTCTAAAGCAGATAGTTTATGGACTGTCTTGAAGCTTTCTTTGAACTATCTACATTTAGATATTTCTCGATTACATTGCTTTACATTAGCTGAATAAAGCACGTTATTAGCAAGATACATGAAGCAAATGTTTAACTAGTTTGTAAAATTTTAATTTGTTTTAATTTTCACGTGAAACAATTATATATATTTAGTTAAAAGTTTCATACAAATTTGATGAGACCTTATATAAGTGATTTCTGCAAGCGCTTGTGAAGTATATTGACAAAAATATTTCCATTTGTTTACTTTCTTAACACAGTTAAGCTATTGGTAGATAGCTAGCGACTGTCTGAAAAAAGTGAGTAAACTTTCACTGTCTGAAAATTGGCTTGATAAAGTTAATATTCAACTAGTTGAAAAGAGTCAGCTAATATTTCGATAGAAGATGTCTCTTTTATAATAGCTGAGTACAGAAAGTTTACGGAATTTCTGAATTACAGAGCGTTCTGCGTTTGGTTACTGGGGCTTTAATTCAGTAATTTTTTGCAAAATTATGTGAAAATTTATCATGTGATTTAACATTCTTATATAAATATTTTAACAATGTCTAGCAACTTAATTTATGTGCTTTTATCTAATATTTTACTTGCTTTTTACTACACTGGTGGAAATTGAAATGAGACACCCATGTTTTTTTATGTGAAAGTCTTACAAATGAAAGATTAAGCCTTACTTGTTGTATACCATTGGAAAGAACTTTAAAAAATAACTTAAGTACAGGAACAATGTACTGACTGAAAATGTAGCAGTTTAAAGTTATTTACAAAATATGATTTTTGAGGTGGAAATTGAAATGAGACACTTTAGAAAAATTTACAAAAATCTTCCTCAATTTTGACTTTGACTATACATATTGTATATAGACTTGTAGATTTTTATTTTCTTAACAATACTAGAGCATTCTAAAAATTTTTGGAACTTCCAATCATCTAATATCCTCAAGAGAAAGTAGTGAAAGCCAGGTTTTTTGTTTTCATCAAATATTTTTATGAATAATCATCTATTAATAACAAATGAAATCTAAATATGTAGATTTTTAAATGCTCTTTCAGATAAAGAATTGATATTTACCTCAACATAAGCTTAAATGACAAAAATTAATTAAAATGCTTGTAACGAGTGAGTACGGATATGAAAAAATTTATTTTTCTCTTATTTTGGTTAATCAAAAAAATCTGAAGTTTTCAGGACATATTCTGCATTGCCTTTACTATAAGTTTTTAATGCCATATATTTTTTATCTCCATCCATAAACGCTAGGATTAACATTTAAGTCATGATGAAATCCCATAATATCAAATTCCATAAATTTTTCACATTATTAATGCAAAAATTCAAATCGAAAAATTCCGTTAAAATTTTCTTATTTTTATCATTTATTAATATTTTATGCACATAAAACGTATTTATGTAACATTTAGAGAGTCATGCACTATCTTTAAGATATTATGCTATCAGCATAATTTAATTATACTAGGTTTTAGTGTTTTTGTAACGGTCAAAATTTTTGAATTTATTTTTGCATCTTTTTTCTAGCCTAAAATTAATGATGTAAACAAACAATAATTAAATTGTCCTGAAATTATAAGGATACTATAGCATCTTAAAGATAGTGCATGACTCTCTAAATGTTACATAAATACGTTTTATGTGCATAAAATATTAATAAATGATAAAAATAAGAAAATTTTAACGGAATTTTTCGATTTGAATTTTTGCATTAATAATGTGAAAAATTTATGGAATTTGATATTATGGGATTTCATCATGACTTAAATGTTAATCCTAGCGTTTATGGATGGAGATAAAAAATATATGGCATTAAAAACTTATAGTAAAGGCAATGCAGAATATGTCCTGAAAACTTCAGATTTTTTTGATTAACCAAAATATAAGAAAAATAAATTTTTTCATATCCGTACTCACTCGTTACAAGCATTTTAATTAATTTTTGTCATTTAAGCTTATGTTGAGGTAAATATCAATTCTTTATCTGAAAGAGCATTTAAAAATCTACATATTTAGATTTCATTTGTTATTAATAGATGATTATTCATAAAAATATTTGATGAAAACAAAAAACCTGGCTTTCACTACTTTCTCTTGAGGATATTAGATGATTGGAAGTTCCAAAAATTTTTAGAATGCTCTAGTATTGTTAAGAAAATAAAAATCTACAAGTCTATATACAATATGTATAGTCAAAGTCAAAATTGAGGAAGATTTTTGTAAATTTTTCTAAAGTGTCTCATTTCAATTTCCACCTCAAAAATCATATTTTGTAAATAACTTTAAACTGCTACATTTTCAGTCAGTACATTGTTCCTGTACTTAAGTTATTTTTTAAAGTTCTTTCCAATGGTATACAACAAGTAAGGCTTAATCTTTCATTTGTAAGACTTTCACATAAAAAACATGGGTGTCTCATTTCAATTTCCACCAGTGTATAATATACAAACTTTAATCAATTAGTTCTGCTATGCATCAAAATTTGGAAAAACAATTATTAGCTCAAAAGTGTTTCCATGTGACAGTGTATATTTTAAGCAAAAAATCTACTTTAATTAAATATTTTCCAAAGTTGCTTATCATTTTTAAATAGCTTATTAAACAAGCTTCAAAACGATATGTAACATGTTGAGAAAATATTACGTTTTTTAAGAAATATGTTGGAAAGAAAAATTTTCATGAAACATGGAAACAGTTTTGAACGGTACTGTATCTGTATATTATTATATTAACGTACGATTCTTTTCGGAGCTTTTCCATTTCAACTTCCTTAGTAATTAGTGCCTTTAACTGCAGAAATAATTGATGCTTTTTATTTTTCAACTGTATCATTTGTTCTTCAACTTGCTGTATCTCTTCTTGAGTCTTTCCCAAAGTTTTAATGTTATCCTGTTTCTTGCGGGCTTCGCGTTCATTCCTTAATTGCTCCTCTTTTGCTGTTTCCAGTTCTCGTTGCTTTTTTCTTTCCCTTTCTCTCATTATATGTCTTAAATAGATAAATTTATTAATTATTTTTTTTTCAAGAAAAATGTCCGATGAATAAGTTTTCATCAATATTTCACCTTTTTAATGATATCCATAACTTATCTTCTGTTTCTTCTTTTTTAGCATCCTCTCGTTTTGCTATATTATACTTTTTTGCACTCATTTTGAAAGGATTTTCACTTTAATTTATAGAATAATATTTCCCAACAAGATCAATATAAACAGAATAAAAAAATAAGTTTGCAAAGCATTCTTGTAACTTTACATCTTTATTAAACGCGCATAAAGGATGCAGCTTCAAATCACCCAAAACCACCACTTGAAAATGTATGTGGTGTTTCTGGATAACAGTGTTTTTCATAAACACCACATATATTTCCAAGTGGTGGATAAAATCACACGTGTGTTTTTATTCACCACGTACAATGCAAGTGTTCTTTCTGGAAACACATGTGTTGCATATCACCCGAAATTTTTTTCTGTGGGCGTTTTAAAGATTAGTGTAATATTTTTTGAAGTATGAAAAAATAGTGGAAAAAATTAGGTTTCATTCTCATTTTTAAATGCAAGCTTAAAATTAGTTTTAAAGCACTTCATATTTCATTAATTATGGCATGTCAGGATGCATGAAGTAGACAGAATGAAAGAACTCGGCATTTTACAAAAATTTGTGCAAAAATTGCAGCTACAAAGCTACCTAATTAAGAGAAAATTCGATTCAAAGATGAATATTTTGGAAAATCAATCAATGGAATTGCCCTTATTTCCAAATACTTAACATGGCGAAAATTACAATTTTGTATAGGATATCGAATTTTTCAAATTTAAAGCTGCTTTAAACTTCAATTTTCGACTATCCAAAATGATGTAGAAATGTTTGTATAAGGGCAATTCTATGGATGAGTAGAATTTTAATGTTTTCGTTAATTTTTATATTATTGTGAGCTGGAACTTATAAATCTATTGAAATGTTAAAACTCAACCAAAATAAATGAAAAATTGAAAAAGTATGTTTGAATTTTTTATTTTTTTCCGGATTAGGACGAAAAAAAAAGCTTTTTAATAACTCGATGACACAACAAAGTTTTAAAATAATAGAAATATTTCATTAATAAATGACATAAAGGAAACAAAAAAGCAATTAATTTTAAGATTTTTTTTCTGTTTTATAACTCAGTAGTTGCTATTTGATATTAATATCAATAGTTTTCTCTAATTTTCGATTCTTCGGATAACAAAAATGGAAAATTTTAATTTCTGTCATCGAGTTATTGATTAAAGAATCTGGACTTAAACTTAATTTATATATCGATTAGAAATATTAGATGTCGAAAATATTATACACTTTACATCGATAAGAATCATAAATAAGAGCCTCTAATGGGAAAAATAAATAAAATTTCGATTTTTGCTGAAAACTTTCCAATAGTCATCCAAAGAATTGCCCATACCTGTTTTACACAGAATTAAAAACAAAATTTTTGGATAAATGTTAAATTTTTACAAATGTGTCTTAATAAATTTTTTTAAGAGTTCAACCAGCAGCTTTTTCATCTTAAATGTAGTTTTTAAACTTACACAGACAGATTGAGATTTTGTCTAAACAGACAGTTTTGTCTTTACGGACAGTTGATTTCCATAACTCTGCACAGTTGCATGACCAAATGTATATCAAACCTAGCCACAATTTGCACGTTGCGAATCGCACAAACCGAGTTACCATGACAAGAAAAGCAAAAAAGCACCCAAAAAATTCCTAGTGATCGAATTTGTGAAGGTCTCTAAACTAAAAATTAAGCTTGCATTTAAAAATGAGAATGAAACCTAATTTTTTTCATTATTTTTCATACTTCAAAAAATATGTGTTTTCAGAAAGACCACTTACAATTGTGCGTGGTGAATAAAAACACACGTGTGATTTTATCCACCACTTGGAAATATATGTGGTGTTTATGAAAAACACTGTTATCCAGAAACACCACATACATTTTCAAGTGGTGGAAACTCGTGATTTTTGTTTGTGGCGAAATTTGCGTGGGGATTTTGGTCTGTGGGTGATTTAAAGCTGCATCGTATAAAAGGGGTTTTCAAGCTAGTTTTTTCAATTTTAAAGAGTTTTTGAATAGTCTTTTTTTAAAGCCTGTTCACATTTAAACCTAAGTCGAATATTTAAGTGCAAAACAATATAATTAATATAGATGGACAAACTGTAGTTGAAATGAGCAATCAAACATAAAAATGAGCTAGATTTGCGTTTAACCGGGAAATTCAAAATTTTTTTGACTGTTTTTATTCATAATTTTTTTTAAAGCTAAATAAAGTTTTATAATTAATATTTAAAAATAAAATTGATTTGATTGATTGGGATTGTAGTCAAATCGTAAATTTCTTTTTACTTCGCTAAACAATGCATTTCCTGGACAATTTGTATCAGACGAACTTATTTGTCGATGTGCGATTAATGAATACGCTGATGAAACCTTACCTTTAGAAATTCCACATAAAATTAATTCTTGAGCTGCAAGAAATGATTTAAAATTGGGCATCGTAGTGTCAAACGTTCCAATAAAGCACAAATTAATTGCGTAAGCATTATATGAAGACATGTCACCTCCTTGCACATCCCATCCACGTCCCTCGTAAACATTACCATCTTGACCAATGCAAAAGTTATATGCAATATCAGGCAATCCGTTTGAATGAATGTGAAAATTTTGAATGTTTCTCATTTGTATTGAACATTCTGTTTGGTTAAAACAAATTGGTGATGAGCTCTGATGGATTATAAAATAATATGCCGGTTGGATGAGTTGCATTTTAATTGAAATCGGTTTCCCATCCCACTGTGTTCTTGAAATAATTCTCGGACATGCTGTTATATACAGAATAACATCTAATAATACTATGTAAATTAAATAATTATTTTTCTTCATCTTCAACGAGTGCTCTTGTTAATATTTAGAAACTTATAAAAACTTGAATGAAAACTGTTTGTATTTATATGACATGAAATATTAAACGAAATGATTCCGAACAATGAAATATGTGTCAGCCGCATAGCATTGCAAAATGCTTTGACGTACTGATAAACAACCCATTTTTAGAGATCTTTTATATATACATTTTATTTTTTTTCTTCCAAATATCAAAAATATAAACTAGGTATATTGCTTTTGTTGCTTCAACACTAATTTTGTTTTCAACTAAAACTTTTCCTTTTAATCAATTTTTTTTTTCAGTGAAAAGTTCTCATATTTTATTCAGAAGTTTTCTTTCCCTCTCTCTGTAGTTTATATTTGCTCATTTAAGTTGTAGGTATAGTTATTGTGTTAATAGAAATGTAGGAGAACTCTTTGAACTTTTAAACTTTGAATGGAGATGAAAATGTATTTTATAAGCATGCTTTTATTAACACCAGTTCATAAAATCTATGTTGACCTTAATAACAAATTCAAAATGTTTAAAAAAAAACTGCTCAAAAATATGGCAAAGCTATATTGAAAGAAAAACGATTAGCTTTTAAAAATTATTATGTCGTATCGAATTGTCAGTTTGATTTCTTAATTTTATACTACCTTATACATCAGCATCTATAAACTAGTAAAACAATTTAAAATAAAATGAAAAACCAGTTGAAATAATTTTTCCTTAAAATTTATTCATCGTTTAATCTAAATTCTGAGTTTATAATTTATGTTAAAAAATTAATTTCTTTTTTAATGTACAAAGCAAACTTGCTTAGCTATATCCTAGGAGAAAAATAAAATTATTTTTAATTAAATTATCTTGTTTTATTCGTTCTTTTTTCTTTTTCATTCTTTGGTTTTTAAAAAATATCTAAATTAATTAATTACGAGTGTCTGTTTTTATAAAAAAAGCGTAAAAGGAATAGTAAGTACCTATATAGGAAAATCACATTCCATTCATACTCTGTATGTCTATTAATCATAAGAACCTAATATGATGCTGTTTTGGTAAATAATCTAGCATTGTACAAACATATAAAAAGTACATCAATCTATCTATCAAAAAAATTTACCTTATCATCTATTGAAAATGTTGTATATATCCATTGAAAGCACGAATTTTCCTCGTGAAATGATAAACAATTTTTATCTGCTGTACATTACAAAATACATCATGTATGATATGAACACCGTAAGCATCGCTAATAGTAGTTTGTTTTATTAACTTTAAAAATGTTATATGCACGTTTCTTGATATGGCAGGATCAAGTGAATAAACAAAACGAAAAAATATACGATGGCGGTAAAATTCAATATTACAACATCAACTTGAAGATTATTGAGAATAGAATAATTCTATTGTATTTCTATTTGCTCGTGTCATCTCTTAAAAGTAATATGAGATCAGTTCTAATGGATATCGTTTTCAAGTCAAACGTCTTGTGACAATATTAATTCAGTTCTTATTTCTTCTGAAATAATATTATAAGGATTACCAAAAATCACTACGAAAATGTTATTAAGAAAATGATAAAGTTTTTAATAATGTCTTCTCAATTGCTTCTTATTGGAATTAGAGAACATATTCAAATCAACTTTTTAATGTCTTCATTACGTTAAAAAACTTATCTCCGTGAAAGTTTTAAGTTACGGTATAAATGTACTAAACTTTTTGCAGCTCTACAATTTAGGCAAGGTAATAAATTTTGAAGAAAATTTCATTTTAAAAAATGAGCATTCAATGATGCTATAAGAATATCACTACGAGTTGTATTAAATAAAGCAAGTCTTATAAAGCAGCACATTCTTGTTTCATAACTTCAAGTTTCTTTCGATCTTATTAAATTTATTTATCATCAATGAAAAAAAAAGTAAGTTTTTGATATTTTCTTTCCTCATATTTCTCTTTTGAGAAAAAAAAAGCATTTATTTGAAGTGTATTTCTCTTGAATCCTTTCCTGTTTCGAGCTCTCGTCTAGGGTTTTTGATATAATTTAAAAAAAGTTCGTGGATGAAACTAAAGGAAGAAGAATAAACATGAAAATAAATACAACTACATATTATTGCCTTTTCTCAAAACAAATTCTTTGCAATTTAGTAAAGATAAATTTTCTATATTCAATAAATCTATCTCATCTCCACTTATTATTTTTTTATTTTTTTTTTGTTTTGTTAAATTGGTTTTTTGTAGTTCGAAGTGATTTTCCATGTTCTCTAATATTTTTCGATCTCAATTGTTATTTTTTATATAAGATGCCATGTCAAATAATAGTCATAAGCAACCTTAATATTTTTTTCAGACTCAAAATCTTCAAATTATGATGCTTTTGCAATATATGACGATGAGACATTTCAAGATTATATTGCTTTAAGATTATAATCATTCCAGACTTGATACAGTGTGCAATCTTGCAAGATTGCATGATAAAGGATAGATATGTATTCATTATTATTGTTAGTATTTTTTATTATATCTTATTGTGTTGTGCATGTGTACGTATCTAACTATGAAAATTAATATGGATTCAGGGATTATTTTTTGAAATTAAAAATTAATGAGTAAAGCTTTATTTCATGGAAGATAAAGGATTGAAATGAAGCCAAGAAATGATATGTGTACATTGGAAAATTTGAAATTATGTAATTAAATGGAGAGAGAGTAGAATGAAAATAGTGAGACTTATAGCTATGTCATAATCTACAGTGAACATATACAAAATCTATATAGGATTTCATCAATAAGCTCAAAAATAATTAACTGCTATGGATTATTGTGCAATGATCATGACTCTTTTTTGCCATTATTGTTCCATTCAACTGACATCTTATGTTTGGTTTCAATTAGTTCGTGAACCATTATCGTTTACGTCAATCGAACTTATATAGCTCTCTTCGTTGTTCTCATTAAGGCATTCTTGACGTTTTGTTATCATCATAAGTGTTGTTTTCACTGCCATCCATTCATTGTTAGATAAATCATACCATGTTACACCTGAATTGTTATATAATATAGGGTTTAATATCAATTTCCATTTTTTATACATACAAACGCGTTTTTGAAAAATTTATAAATCACTGAGTTGAAGTAGTTATTATTATTCACAAGTTTGATTCTCATCTGACTATGAAAATTTAAAATCTTTTAGAGGCAAAAGAACTGAGTTTAAAAAATTACCGAGAAGCTCAAGAGACTGCCTCTACATTTGCGGACTTTGGGCAACATAATAACTTTATAATGATGGCAGAATGTTATACAAAAAATAAACGTATTAATTTGTCAAAAGACTATTGGTGATTTTCATATTTTTTTTTTAAAAACCATGTTTGTTTTTATGAAAATGTAAATTCGAAATTGTTATTAAAAAGTCTTATACCTGAATTGTATCTTCCGTTAAGGTTCCCATGTGAGCAATAAGAAAACCACCTGTTTTTTTTTTAAATTAAAATATCGTGCTTAATTTCAATCAATAGACGAACAAAATAACATTATCTTACCATCCTCCCTCGTATTCTCCCGCACAATGATCATGCGATATGTCTAAGTCAACGTCTATGGATGAAAATTTCATATGATTTTGATAATCAAGCGCATTTGAAGCATTTCCAGAATATCCACCAAGATCGATTCTATGATTAGAAATTAATAAATATGTGCAAAGATTAAGACATAATGAGTAATGAGTTTCTTGAATGAAAAAAAAAAATAAATCTATCACGTACCGATAACCTTCACTCCTTGTTGCAATATAAAATGAATCATAGTCAGCATAAAGTGTTTTATTTTCAATATCTTGGATAATGATTCTCAGCTTTGTACAATTATCCTTTGTAAGTTGGTGCAGTAATTCGTTTCCTATCCAAAGCTCATCGTTTGGATCGCCGAAACCTTTTGCATATTCTTCCCATGATCGATTAAAGTCAACTGAACCATCATGACGCTTTTGAATCACTGTCCAGGGACCGATACATTTTACTAAAGTCGGATGTGGATAGTCTGCTGGTGCTATCATGTGCAACTCATTATCAGATGTTTCTATCTCATGACATCCGCTTGGGAGTGCTTCAATGATATTATGATATTGCTTTTCAACATATTCCAGTTCCTTTACTAGCTTCACTGTTGTATCAATTTTGTCGTTATTTTTTTTATTATTTTCAGATGCTCGTTGCATCTCGTGGGAACTCAGACTCTGTCAAAAAAAAAATGAAAAACGAAAATGAAAATTAAATTATAATTATGACATGCTGCCTTTCTGTGCGTGATAATTTTTTCCCTATTTTATTCCCTAAAGCCTAACTTAACTCTTTAGAAAACGGAAAAAATTGTATGTTTCTTTGTACACAGGTTCTCATTTTTTCATTTTTGAGATTTTTAATATACAACCGCTTTTGATTGAAAGCACACCAAAGGGCTCAGAGCATTATATTTTCAGTCTCAATTTTTAAAAGAAAAAGCATAATTATTTGCAGTTTGTAACATTTTTTTTAAATAGCGGAGATTTTTCAAAACGTTTGGTTTATTTGTGACGTTTTAGTCTTCTTTATCCTTGTCATAAAAATTTAACTTTTTATAGGTAAAAAAAAATGTTCGTAACTTTTCATGATCAAAGAGAAAATTAAAATGGAATTATGTGCGATTAATTTGAATTATCAATTAATATACATATATATTCACGCATTGTTGTCGTTGTTGCCACTTGTTAATGACATGTAAGAGGAAAAGCCGCATTGTAAATGCAGATGATGAAGGGAACTATAGAAATTATTTAATGCACGAAAACTATCAATTAATGGCGCTTAAAAGACTTTCAGCTACAAAAGCAGAGTGATTAATTTTCATTCCTAGATATTTAAGTATTTAAATTAAACTTTAAAAGTAAGAGCTATCAATTTTCATTGAAGTGCATTTTTAATTTCTTTTATTAACGATTTGTAATTTGAAAAAATAATTTAAAAAAACCTTTAAAAATCTCCTTTTTTTAAAAGGATCCTATACCATAAAACAAGAGTTCTCTGTTGAATAAATTTTGTAATTAGTAAATTAATGATGTTTACTTCTTTGAAGAAATGTTTAATTTACTCATGCTGGTATTAATTTTATAACCCTAACTACACAGATAATTGTTGATTTTTAGCCTTCACTTAATTCCTTATTCATCAAATAAAAATTATTTATGAAGTAAATGAACATATTTTGGTATCTACAGAGATATTTTTATGCTAATCAGGAATTAGACAAATTTAACTTTGAAACTGAAAAACCTCGAAACCTCCCAATGCTATTTGAGGGAAATAAATTTCCACGACAGAAAGTTTAATGCTTAAATGTTGTTTTCTTGTTCTTTTTTAACTTGCATTGAAGCAAATTTCTGAATACATTTTAAAGTTTGTCTATAGGATATAAAAGAAATTTGTTCACAGTATCTTGACAGTATCATAAAATGAAATTATTTTCAGCCATGAATGAAATTCTTCAAGAGGACTATGATAATTTTGTATTTATCTTTTAAAAGCTTTTTCCTCATACCTCATATAAAATTCACAAAGAACACAATAAATCACATTGAATTCAAGTAGATATAATATTTCTCACTATTATATTTCGCAAGATATCGCAAAATTGCACTAAATAAATGAAATGTATACCGTTGAATGAATTGCATCGTAATATTAATTTATTTAATACTTTCACATTTATTGAAAAAGAAGTCAGAAAATATAGATGCGATTTTAAACGACAAACCTTTTTAAATAATAGAAAATTAATAGGATTGAATAAACAATTGCTACCACATAAATTAAAAAATATTTACGTTTTTAAATATTGGGCTCGTTCACTTATTACGTAACGCAAAAAAACGAGTTTTAGACCCCCCCTCCCCCCCCCTGTAACAAAGCGTAACAAAACCTTAGACCCCCCTCCCCCCCCCCATAACGTAACAATAATTTTTTTCATTTTAATTGTTTATCAAATGTTTATTATACTTCCTTTAAGTATGTAAAAGTAAATAGAAGGAAAGCAATAAAAAAATATATTAATCGTTTACATCCATATTATTAACTAAACGCAAAAAAAACTCATAAGTTTTGTAATCATTAGTCGTTTTCCCAAATTGGTTGAAAATGATCTTCAACTGCAAATACATTTTGATATTCAACAATAATATCAGTATTTGCTATTTGCACGTTCCTCTTCAATATCCAAGTTCTCAGCTTCTACCCAATCCAAATATAATTTTTGAAAAGTTACGTAACAAAATTTAGACCCCCCCCCTCCCCCTGTAACAAACCGTAACAAAATCTTAGACCCCCCCTCCCCCCCTAGTGCGTTACGTAATAAGTGAACGAACCCATTCGACTTTCAATTAAAATAAATTTATTTAAACCATTAACATTTATTGCATTGCGAGTTAACATTTTGGAAATCAATATTTGTAATGAAAATTTGTTCGCAATTTGAAGTTTTTTTGTGTATTTATTCAAATTAGTTTTCTGTTCAAATTTAAATTAAAATGATGAATTTTTTGAAATTTATGTGCAAATGTAAAATTCGATTAATTGTTTTTAGTCTGTTTTGTAAAGTTTAATTGCATATGACATTTTCGATAAATTTCAATTACTATCTAACAATATAGTATTATTGAAAACTGAATAAAAAATCATAGAAGTTTTCTTACCTTTTCTTTTCCAATACTTTTAAGACCGACATATGTTCGAAGTTTATCAATCTCCATTTTAACACGATTCAATTCAGTATCGAGATTGGGTTGTCGAGAACGCTCATTTTGCAAAGTACTTATGCTGACTGCAAGTGCTTGAATTGTCCTCGCCATATTATGATCTTCTTCCTTCAATATATTTTGATTCGATGAAATTTGTGCTGAATCTATTTCAACTTTTGTAATTTCTCTCCTTATCTCAGGAATTGTATGGTCAATCTTTGTTTCAATATCAGCAATGTCTTCAAGTAATTCTAGAGTTGATTTTTTACTTGACGATTCGAAACTACTAATTTCTCGACTCAAGTTGAAGTTTAAATTTTCAAGTTCTTTCTGCTTCTCTTCAATATTTTGCAATCTCTCGATTACTTTCTCATTGTCTATTTCTGCCATTCTTTGTTGTAATAAACGTTGTGCTGATTCCAGTTCTTGTACTTGTGCACGTAACAAACGATAGTGTCGCAATTTGTGTTCTGCTTCTGATCGAACATAGTCAAAAGTAGTAGATGATGGCTCAATCTATTGAGAAGGCAATTGAAACAATAATAATGTTGTTATTTATCTTATCATTTATATGACATACTTTTTTTGTTCTTATTTTATTTTTACTAAAAAACCAAAAAGACATTAAACTTTTGTTGAACTGACTTTACAAAAAGAATTTATTATCTGTTTTTAAACCTTCTTCTTATTCTCCTATATATTAACTGTTGCTGGACGTAAATTTTACTAGTTTCCGATATTTAAGTAAGTGAGTTATTTATAAATACTTGTTTTATTAATAGAAGTTTGTTTGGATTCGTAAAATTTGGGTTAATAATAGGTCAAGGTGAAACCGTTCATTTGTAATTGATGTAAACTTTGATCAAAAAGCATTCATCTATTTGCTTCTTTAATTTGAATACACATATTCAAAATAAAGTTAGAATGTTTTATTAAATCAAATGAACATGGTGAATATGATAATAAAAAGGTAAAACCTCTTTGAGGTTTTTATTTGGGAAAGGAAATGTTTTGACATGAAAAAACATTTAGCCATAAAAATACATTAAAGGAAAGGATTGGCATGGAAAGGAAATATATGATACATTAACGTTTATAACAAAGGTTATGTCTCGTGTGATATGTTTGCATATCTGGTTTACAGCCTTCTTACGGAAAAATGTATGCTTTAATCAATTATTCACACTGAGCGCTCATTTAGTGGAGCAAAAGAAACATCTCAAATTTATGTTAGTAAATTTGTATTACCAAGTCTAATGTAGGAGGAAAACAGGAAGAAAAGTATGAGTGAGGAATAAGAACAAAATAATCACAAGATAAAAGACTATTGAAAATGAAATCATTATTTGTTTGAATGGATCTTATGAAAAGAAATGACATATAGAAAGCATAAAGATGACCGATTTTTTTCCAGTATTCTCGTTTTGATAAATAACAAGGCAAAAGTCTGTGTTTGAAAAAGTGATAAGTTTATGTTATTCATGTGTCATCTTCTTCCTCATGTTTACTTTCTTTTTACTTTTTGCTACTTTTTCTCTAAACATCAAGATATAAACGAATGAAAGCATATATATGTACACAGAATAAGTTGGCTATGTGTATACATGTGAAAATTTTTCTGTCTGCTTTGCCGCCGTATATTTTGGAACACCGAAAGAGTTTAATATTGAGAAGAAAAATAAAATAAAAAGTACGCTTTGAAAGATGTTGAATATGTGGTAAACGGCAGGTGCAAACTTCTTTATATTCTTGTTAAGCAAAAATCTTGTTTTTGGTTCTAAAACATCTTGTTCTTTTTTTTCCTAATATTTATGCTTATTTTGGATATGAAAATTATTAATCTCAATGTTTTTCCTTCTCCATTAAAAAAATATTATTATTTGCTTATATCGATATGACAAAAAATAAAACCTAATTAAGATCTTTAGAACAACTTAAAGTTTATAAATGAAAATTGCATACATTCATAAGTAATAAATTGTTTTCCATACTTTATAACAGATATGAATCTTAAAAATTGATTTTGAATGACACATTACAATTCTATTCAATAGTTAAGTTTTTTTTTGTCCACTTTCTATTATTTGTGTCATATTATTCTAGGGGTTCTCAAATTGGACAACATTTTGAGTAAAAAATTTTCTGCTCGTAAATAAAAACGCAAACTGAGCATTTATTATAATTTTCGAAATGATTTTAATTTTAATAATTTTAATTCAACCTTTGAAAATTTTATTAAATCGTCTCTTAGTAAGAAACTATATTTTCGTATAACTGAAAGCTTAAAGAAATGATCATAAAAACCAAATGAAACACAATCATAAGTATCATTAACGATCGTAATTATTGTTATCAAATTTCCAAAACTTCCGCCTATTTAATAATTTATTGAAACTGTAGTGATATTAAACTTTTAAGCCAATGTATATTCATGACAAATAAACAAGCAAATACAATATAAACAGACATCCGATGCTTATATGTATGTATGTATTTATTTATTTATCCTTACCCTATAAATTCAATCAGAATTGCTCATTAAGCCCTAACTCGCATCATTCGTAATTAATTACTTGTGCAATTCGAAATAGAGAAAAAAGAAAGAAAGAAAAGGAGGAAAAGTTTTCTTTTTTCCGTTTTGTTGAATGAAGTGCCTAATTTTCTCGAACGACAGAATTGGAGCATTAAACAAATTAATGCCAATCTCAACTTTTTTGCTTCTCATCAGCATTCGTTCATAATTAAGTTTCTAAAAGCTCTTTAGACTTTTGCCTCGGTTGCCTGTGTATACATGTGCAAATTAAAAAACTTTTTCACTGCTACTTCTTCTCCCCTCTATCTCCATCTCTTTTCCAACGCTTTGAACGATTAAATACAAACAAATATATATGTGCATACTTAAAGCTATACATTTATTTTCTTATTTTTATTCAACTTCATCAAAAATTAACAAAGAAAAGTGGAGATGATGAAGTTAATACCAGGAGAATTTACATTTTTTTCCTTTTTATTATTTCTTTGACTCGAGTGATTGAATGTTCAATTTTTATTTTAATTGAATGGAAATATCTTATTTTATGAAGTTTCCAGTATTTTCCTTGTTTATTACATTATACCATGAATTAATTGAAATGAAGCATTCATGCTTTATCTTTATTTATTGTCCTGTTTTGAGTGTACATAATTTTTTTTTGTTCCTTTGAAAACTTTTTTTTTTATTTATTCAAAAATGAACATTTTTTCTCTCAACGAACGAATTTTGTCGTTCTTTATTTTATCATGACGATACATACATGAATTTCAGGAATCTTTTTTTTTCATGAACAATATCCGCAAAAATTAGACTTATAAAAAGTCTCTGTACAATTATTCTTGTTGTTTTTTGACAAATACATTTTTTTATTGCTTCTTTTTCCGCTCATCATTTCCATTCTCAAATTCCTATTTGTTTCATTTCACAAGAGACTTTTGTCGATGCTTTCCTTTGTTAAATTTATTTATTTTATTTTTTTGCTCTTGTATTTCAAGATTTTTTTTATTTAAATTAGTCTGTGATGGTATTCTCCGCTGATTAATTTCCTAATATAATAAAATCTGTTCAAAATGAAAAACACATTTTTTAAGGAAATAAAAAGAACACGCTATGTATTATGAAAGCATTATTTTCATATTTCATAAAATAATTTTTTTTTTGCTTAGATGAGAAAGGAGATTAGGTATAAATACCAATGAGTACTCACTAGGGATTTCAAATACAAATGTCAAATATTTGCGTTTTTCGGCACTATTTGGGTTCAGTTTATATGAAATTATTAAAAAAAATTTTAAAGAAATAAACTCTTTTTTTTAGAAAATTTGCCTCAATCTGATAAATTAGTGCATAAATAAGGTAAAATTTGATAAAATTTAAGTTTAAAATGAAAACATGTTCCTAATTCCAAGAATTTCTTTCACTCTTTGATGATTTCTCCTCGTAAAAATTATTTGCTATTTGTACAAAATTTGGGTTTTCCTCTTTGGGGTATTTCGAATTTGTACAAATATTCAGAACCCCAAATAACTGAAATTCCTAGCACTTATACTTTGAAAGACTTGGTTTTAAATCAAAATTAATAAATTCGATAGTCATGAATATTTAAAAAAAAATTTAAGTAGATTTAAGTGAATAAGATTTATATTCTTAATGATATTATTCTCCTGTGAGTGTAGAGCTTTTCAAATGCGTAATATATTTTGTTAAAACCGGTAAATATCGGTAAAAAGCCTTTTTTTATATAAAAAAAAGTTATACCTACGTACAAAATAAATTTATTTTGTCTTCTTTAGAGAAGATTTATTTTAAAAACAAAATCTTTGTTGAACAAACATGGAAAAAATTATTTAAGTAAGTAAACTTCCGCTTTTTATCCAAAAAAAATTTGCATTGAAGACAGTCAGACGACATGAATTAAAAATGTAAAAAAAAATAGGGAAGTTAAAAAACCACACATCTTTCACCATTAAAATTGAATGAACATGTGATAAATTACAAACAGTAGCTTAAACAACTCAATTGCTAGTGGTTTGGTTATTCTTGTTAGTGCACTGCAGGCACATTCACAATAAGTTTATGCATTTTATCTGCTTTTCTGTATATTTATCTTTTCTTAGATACATAAAAGATAGAGTAAAAGCAAGATGGACATTTTTAACTTTTGATTTGCATCTTGTTTTTTGTTCCATACGTTCATACCATCATCATTAAATGTTTCACAATCTCATACCAATTTTTCTTTTATATAAAGCTTCAAGCCATGTGGTCATTTCTACTATTGCGTACAAATTTACATGTTGAAGTAAAACTTTGTGGTTTAATGTTTTTGATTAAAGAAGAAAATAGAAAAAAAAAAATGCAATGCATCAAAATGAATAAGAGAGATGTTATTTAGTAGGAGAATTTATATTTTGTGTTAGAAAGAGAATAATTTTTTTTTTATGAAAGCATAATGTTGATATCAAGTTTATATGATATTTTGTATAATTCAATTCATGAGAATAGAATCGAATTAGAATATTTAACTTTGTTGGTTGTATTTGTGTAATTAAATAGTGAACTTTAGAGTCATTTCTTTAACAATATGTTCGCTCTCTCAAAGGAAATTGTTTGTAAAACAGAAATTAATTTTAAAAACATAAGATATTTCGCAACCACAAACCCTAAAAAATTTCTTTAGTAATTTTCTTAAAGTAAACTAGTGGTTTGAATTTAAGAGTAGAACGTAAAATTCCTAATGCAAAATGGAAAAAATAGGACGACTTTAAAGTAAAAAAATTGACCATTCATGGGAAATGGAATGATCAATTTACAAAAATACTGTACCGACACCACAATAAACAAGGTGCTTTTTTGTTAAAATCAATTATTTCTTCCTTTACAGAAATTGATATCTTAAAGAGACTTTAATAGAAAATGCAGAAAGAAAAATAGAACGTATTTCGCAAGAGGCCAGAAAAGAAATATTGCTTTTAAATTTAATTGAAACTCAACCGTACTAATGGTATATAGGGATTTTTATGCTTGAAAATGCAAAGAAAGGAAAAGTAAATTGAATGGACGGGCTAAATTGAAATGAAAAAATAAAAGAGGAAATAAATTGGGAAATTTTTTCAAAGAACTCACTTCGTTTTTTATATGTTTTTGTTTTTTTTTTTATATTTCTGTAGAACTATAAATTTAATGACTCATTCATTAATCCAATGTGTCGATCGATCATTTAATTTATTTATCATTACTCACCTTTTTTCTACGTTCTTCATAACTACTCCACAAATCTTTTGAATTTTCTGTTATTTCCTCCCTTAATTCACGCAATAGAACATCACTCTTTTCTTGACGGGATTTTATCGCATTTATTTCAAGTTTAAAAGTTTTTATTTCATCACGAATCCTCTTGAGATCGTCTGCAAATAGATTGCGTTGATGACACGTTTTTGATAGATTACTAGCGCTTTCCTGAAGTTCTGCTATTTCTGTTCTCAGTTCTGATATTGAACTCGATAACCAAGTTGTCAGTTTTTCTTGATTTGGTGACACACCTTGACGAAGAATTTTGATTTCGGCCCTGTTTATATAAATGACAAAATGAATAAGAGGGAAGTAACAGTTAGTAATATGAAAGATAAATTGAAAATTTGAAAAGTCATTCGAGCATGAATGCTTTGCGCTTTTTTACAAAAGAAAAGAAGAGAAAACTTAATTGTATTTTCCTTTTGTGGCATAGAAAATTTACCAATGATAAATTTACTTTGTTTTTTTTTCTGCTTTTGTAATTGTTTGCTTTTGTTTCCTAATGACTCTACTCATCCTTTTTTGTCCGCCCATCTTATTTTTATATTTTAATGATGAAGTTTTTCATTTACTCTTTGTTATTCTTCTTTTCACTTATTTTATCAGTATTTCAAAGTATTCAATTATAATCAGTTAAATACTTGAAAGTGACCTATTAATTTAATTAATGAATAGGGAAATTATGTTAAGAACCTTTTGCGGTTATATTATGGCAAACTCCTGTAAGATCTTAATGATTTTATTAAAATTGAATAGCTTGTGGGCTTAAAAATGTTTGCTTTAATTTTTTTTTTGTAAATTATTAAAAATCAAATGAATCTATATTAGATCCTAGCTAAACCTAGATTAAAACCGGAGAATTTTGAAAAATTTAAAAAATATCATTCTGAATTTTTAAGAGAAAATTAAGTCTCTCTCTTTACAAAAGCAATCAATAATGAACAGGATTTGGATGTTTTTTTCTCATTCAACATTATAAGATTCTCTAAGTAAAAATTATTCTAACTTTATCCAAAACTTTTTATCTTTCCTTCATTTTTAAAACCATACTTAATCGTAAAGTTTTTAACATTGTACTGCATCAGTTTTCATCAGATTTTATAAAAAAAAATTCTTGATGAGGAAGTAATCTAAGCATCATAAAGTTACCAAGAGCAAAAAAGGGTTCATTTCTCTCTAGAGTAATGAAAAACTTTTTAAACCCCTTACTTACTTTAAAAAGAATAATCTCTTTCTTCAAAAAATGCTTAATTTTTTTAAACGTGCTGTATGTATAACAAGAACAGATAGGAAATTAAAGAGTTAAGAATAATTAGTTACCTATCATTTATATGTCAACACTTAGTCAATATATATTCCATTATTTTAATTTTTTTTTAAATAAACGATTGAGATAAACATTACTATATCAGTACATCAAAACAAGGATTAATGAGGGTTGAATTCTCATTCTCAGTTTTATCACTACCGGTTACTTCTAATGATATTTGCATTTCTTTTTTCATTCGTATTTTATGCGTGCTTCAGTTTTAGTCATACACTGTCTATGATTTTAAAAATGACTTTATTATGCGTAAATGTTTTTTTTTCAAGCAGTTATAATATTTTATTAAATATATAGAAAATGAACAAATATGAAAGTAATTCAATTTTTCCCATTTAAAAACTTACTGACCGGTTTAATACTGCAGAAAGCATCATAGTATTGCTTAAGAAAGTTTCAGTTTTGCTGTCATTTTAAAATTAGTAGAATAGCAGTTAACATTTTAATTGTTTAATTTGTGAATAAATACATTGAAATTATGATGATTAATACACATTTCGACTGTTAATCCCTAACCTTTTGCTCATTTTCAACTTTGAATTTTGACAATGTAGAACTAAGGTATTATTTTTTTAAGAGAATGAAATTAAAATTAATATTACTGTAGAATATTTTGGTTGAAACGAGAAAAAATAAAGAATGAAGACTGCTTAAAATAATAAACATACTGAATGGAATGATAGGTGGCAGAAAAGTTTTGTTTAGATTTATGTGTTATTGTTGTTGTACTTCTTTGTTAATCGACAGAGTAAAAAATATATTATACATACTTAACACAGAAAGCAGTTGGAAAAAGAAAAACGAATATGTTATTTGATGACATTTCTTTTATTTCTTTCGTGTTATGTTTCTTGCACAGTTTGACAGGAGAAACAAACTTTTATTTCTTCATCAGAATCCATGTTTATTTTTCATTAACCTTACTCGCGTGTATTTTACTTACATTCTCATCCAAACAGATAACATGGATGATGATGATGATGCGAGACATTTTGAGCAAGCAAAAAAAAACGTCTACTCTTCATTCAAGAAACGAAAAAAAGTTGTTTATTGTAATTTAAAAAAGAATTGAAGACGAAAAGGACCTCAACGTTGTCTTCTTGTGTTCCATATTTCTAGGATTCATTTAATATAAATCCTCTTGTCACAACTCGAAATACAAATATGTTGGTAATATAGTAAATGTAATTTTTTGTACTTAAATGATGACTCATTGAGTACGTGCATATGCATATCCAATTAATAAGTCAATTTTCAAGATCAATTATCATAATTAAGAAGGAGAAGTATTTCAAAATTCCTATGAGCATTGACGTGTTTAAGTCTCATTTTTTAATAAAACCAATTGGCAACTGTTTATGCATTCCGATTTTGCTAATTACTATAGCAAATTAATGACACGAGTAAAAGTAAAAGAATATGAATAATAAAATATTTTTTTACCAACATGAAATTGTTTGGAAGGCATTTTTTAACCTCAAAAGCTTTTGTAAAGCAGTATTTCAACGGTACCATCAAAAACAATAATAATAATTATTATAAAATATGAAAATACCAGCAGTGCATTTGTTTCTAGAATCTTCAAATTTTCATTGGAGTGTGTGACTATGTTTGACGTTAGTCCTTTAAATCGAATTCAATTAATTTAAAATTTATAATTGAATTAAAACATTTAATTTTATAGATACTTTTGAATTTTTCACACTTATAGATTGAATTGAAAACCAGTTCTACTCAAACATTACTTGAAAAAAAAACTTGATTTATACAATTGTATTGGAAACGATTGACATGAGAAATAGAAAAAAAAAATCGATAAAGACTAGAGTATTTTTGTCATTTTTTTTTAATATTGCACACAAAAAAATTCGATTCATACAAATATATGTTTAAGGAGTGAAAAATTATAAGAACGAATGAATAAAAGTGTATATACATTTTATGTTTGTAATACACTTTTCCTCTGCGGTGTTCCGCATACAGCTCGCACTGTGAATTGAGATGGAAAGGTGGAAAGAAGGCAGCAATGTTATACCAAATTTACATGTATGAACTGTTGCTAACAATGAAATATATTTTTTTAACAAATAAATTTCAATAATGGATTTTTCATTCTGTTCATAAATAATGTCAATAAAAATTAAAGTCAAAAGCATCACGATAACATAATTTTATTCGTAGGTAATCAAATTTTATGACTCAAAAAGTGACATAATTTACAAAAATTGCCCATTTACATGTGTGAAAGTGGACGAGATGTAATATTATTAGGTTAGGCATTTTTACCGTTTTCAAAATAGTCCTTAAAAAATGTTATACTATTTTTGTGTTATGTAACACAGTTTTTATAAACAGTCAACATCAAAAATTTTAAAAATTGGATCTGCTAAATATCTTTTGGCAAATATCTTTCTGCAGGTCAGTGCAGGTATTTCAAAAAATAGAAAAATGGAAAAAAAAATAAATTTAAATTACATAAAATAGCTAAAACTATTTTATTCATTGCATCATTAATGACCGAAGCTGAACTTTATAAAAAAAAAGTTTGTAGTATAAGAAAAAAAAAGTAAAAAGGTAAAAAAGTTTCTCATTTTAACTTCTTGACCGCATTTTCTTATGAAACTTTTTTCACATTTATACCTCAATTTATCTACTTCGAAGCATTTCTTTTCTCATTTGTTATTTACCATTACGATTCATTCGTAAATATAGGGAGAAGGACAAATCAAAATCGACAGAAAACGTAAAAGTATTAATGCAGTTATCGCAAAATTTAGTTTTATACTTCATAGCTTAAAGTTAATGTATTTATGTTGAAAATAATTAACTGTCTATAATAGAAAATTAGGAATATTTTTCTTTAATTTTACAGTTTTAAATATTATAAAGAAACAATCAACGAACAGTGTCTTTTTTAAAATTGACATTCGAGATTAAATTAGAAAGAATTCTTTATATAGTTCAAAAAAAAATTGAAGTTAAATTCAAATTTTATGAGTATTACTTTATTTTAAAAACAATGAAAATATGAAATATTATCCACATATCGAAATTACTAAGCTTCTTATGGCCTGTAAATTTATAAAAGAGGCATCTCACTCTTTCATGACATGACAGCCTTACGATGAGTAAAATAATGCTATTAATAATTTTTCTTTCTTTCTCTACCTACATATGAAAATCTCGTCTTATTTATTATTTAATGAGGTGGTTTTTGCATTAAATTATAAGCTCATTTTCACTATACATTTTTGTGCTCTTACTTTTGCTTTTATTTTCAAACTTTTTCTAAACAGATAAGCAAGGTATCCTGTAAGTTAGGGGTTGTTTTACTTAGGTGTATCCTGTTTGTTTTACTCAGGTAAAAATAAGTTTTGCATTAAAAAATCTTTATGTTATTCACATTAAAGCATCACATTATTTTTTATTAGGTTAAAGTATTTTTTAAACAGGTATAATGAAAATTCATGAATCATTTGGGATGATAATTTTGTTGAATGGTTTATGTTCTTCTATGAATATGAGCTAGTTTAAAACAATATCTATAAGCGATATATAGTACATAATAACGTTTTAGAAAAATAAACAAAATCTTAATCATAAGGTCTCCTTTTGAAAACTTTCTAATCGCTTAGACAGATGGAATAGTCTCTACAGTTCTTATATTTAAAATTGAAGACTCTTTCATATACAGTCAAAAAGTCCATGAAAAACATACATTGCTATTTAAAGTTACATGGACTTACAAAAAACGAAATAGAAAGAAATAATAAAGTGAATTCAACAAACCAAACAATATATTATACATATTTTTTTATGGAGGTGTATAAAAATATGCGTAGTAAATAAATGTTGAATAAAGTTCCATAAAATATAAGATATAAAAATACTTTAATAATCCACAATTGTTTTTTACCTAAAAAACAACATGATGAGAGACTTTTACCATGAATTTATTTTCTTATTATCTTTTAATCCTTGAAAAACTACTACAATCACTTAAAGTGATTTTTTTCCTGAGTTCAAGATGACATTTTAAGAAAATGTCAAAATTTCCTTATCCTTAAACTCTATTATTAGCTTTCTATTCTCATTTGTCAGAGATTTTTGGACGAAGAAACGAAAAGAAAAATAATGACAGTTTAGAAGTGGATAAAAATTGTACAGAAGAAAATTCTTTATACAATTGTTTGTATATATACATTGAGTTTTTATCTTTAGGTTACACAATACGAAATGAGAAAAACAGAAAGCAACAAATTTATGATTAAGGCAAAATAAATAGTTGAAAATATTTCATTTGTTCCGGCTCCTGTTTCTGTTTCTCTCCATTTTATCCATATTTTTAGAGTCAAGACAATGTATTTAGTGATGACATATGAAGATCTAAAAGAACTTTTTTTTTGCTGTTCATGTAAATTGTTCTGCTGGGTCACAAGTTGAGTGTTGGAAAAAATACGAAAGTTTTGCCTTCGTTTTTGTGTGTTGTTAGCGTGTTCACATAATTACATTATGTTTTTTCATTTGGTCCGAGATAGGAAACGAGAGCAAAAAATATCGAGTGGATGTAGACTGAGGCATTTAAGGCAAAGTGCTCTCAAAATGTGACCCTGAAGGTTGTTGAAAATTAATGACGTAAAATCTCAGGAAGGAGAATGTTGTATTGTTTGACAGTTTAAAAGCATTTAGGTGGTTTTAGATTATAGGAATTAGAAAGTATTTTTTACTCTGTTCCATTTAGATTTCCTTTTCAAAAAAATAACATTTATGCCAATTTACTCTATATTTCTAACGAAAGAGCAATAAATTAACGAGTATTGAAAAAATTTCAACTCATAAATATCATTAGAGCTTTTCATTTAAAATGAATTTTGTCGAATATTCGTATACAGAAATTGTTTTCACGCCAGTCATTATTTGTTGGTTTGAGAAATTTCAATTTTAACATAGAATTATTCTTTATTTTTTTGAATATTATTACCCTTTTAAAGAATCTACTGATATGTAGGAAATCCAATCAATTTTCTCAACACTGTATTGAGACTCTGGGTAGGCAGATGTAAGATAACTATATAGGCAAGAAATGGTGAGCTGTTTTAATAATTCATGAAAGTTTAAAAATTCATAGTATAATCCACTCAAGATGTCCACTTAAAAGTATTGATATGAATGACATACATATGCCTTATGAAGGATGTAAGAAAACTATTTATAATACTTATTTTTTTTCCAAAGGTGTGATAAAAAACAAATACCATTTTTCCACCCCACATTTATTCTGTGCTTTTCTTTTACGTGTGCTTTTTGTTGGTGATTTATTTAATATAGGTCTTACCAAAATAGAAACGCGAAAAATCTTATCAACTTTATGAAATCTTTGGGCTCACCTTTGTATGCTCTTTTCCTTTTTTCTCTTCTTACTTAAAGTTAGAAAGAAAACAACATGTTAAATAAAGCTTAAATGACTCAATTCGTTTTATTTGAGTAGTTTTAAGAGCTTGTAATAGGCAACGGTTCAATGAATTGAACGACAGGAAAGGTTGAAATTATTGTTTTTTTTTACCTCTTTTAAACGACTGCATTTTCCTTTTTCATGTTACGCTTTTTAAAAAAAAAACATGCTGCAACAGAATTGAAAATATACAATAATCTAAATCGCTAGCGAAAAAAAAGATTTTTTATTCATTCATATGAATCAATTGAGTAAATTCGTTATATTTTCAAATAGAAATTTGAAAAAAGAAAAATAAAATAAATGGATTTTATACGTGCCTTAAAAACGTTGAAGACGTATTGTTCAGAAAAATTGAAGGAAAGAAAAAAAAGGCAGATTCAAAAAAATTGGATAGCGTGTAGCATTTAGGAGGAGAGTGCCCAAAAAAATGTTTTCCTTTGTAGACAAAAAGTTAAAAAGTTCAGTTTTGATAGTTGAACATAAAACTGACAGTAAACAAATATGCACATCCTTATTCTTTTGTGTATTCGAACACACCACCAAAAAAAAATTTTACATTTTAACAGCAAAAATACTACAAAAATTTATCTTGTACGATAAAATGGCAGCAAAAAGGAGAGTCATAAGCCCGCAGTAAAGTTTACGTTAAAAAACTAATTTTTAATGATTTTGTGAGCAACAATAAAAGAAATTTTTTATAGACTTTACGTTTTTAGGTGTTTTTTCAACAGTAACGATTTCTTATCGCATCGCATACACAAAAAAGCTCGCTAACTTAAAACCTTATGATGGTGGATGAAAAAAAAAAGCAAAGAAAAAGGAGCAAAATGTCATGGGACGAGGAGGTAGAAGAAAGGAAAGTAAAGAAAGCATATAATGCTCGTTTCTGTTTCATTACACGAAACAATTTCCATTTCAAATCCGTACTCAATTGCTCACCTTAAATCCTTTAATTCCTTTTTTATGTCTACATTTATATATTCGTGCAAATGTTTTTGAACAAACGAATGTAGACTACGTTCCAACATACGGTAATCCTCTTGTCGATGTTCGGTCAAAATTTCTAGTCGCTTTGAGAGTAAACTAATTTGATCATTAACAGGCATTTGTTCATCACCATTTTGATTATTATCATATCTATTGTTATTTTTTTCTACATTATTATTATGAGTCAGTTTATCACTAAATTTATCATTATTTTCATATTCAATTTCACTACTATCCGTATTTAACAATTTGTTTGCATTAACAAATATCGTTGAAATCAGAATGGTTAATCCTAAAAGCAACATTTTTTTGCTACCGATTGATATTCTTGCCATTATTTTTTTCTCTTTTTTATTTAACCACCTCTATTTGGATGAAATTTTCTCCTTATTTGTATACTCATAGAAAAAAAGTAACAAAATGTTTGTAACTTGTATGGAAAATGTTAACAAACAATTCGTTAAAATAGTGTTTACGAACTTATTTGTTAAATTTAACCAAATTATTTGTAAGGTTGAATTGTTAACTATAAAAATTGTTAATTTAACAAACTTTTTGTTAAAATTTTTTTTTACAGAAAAAAATAACAAATTTTCGGTTAATATTAACCAGAAAATTGTTAATTTGGTCACCCATCTTATTTTAAAATGTTTCCGTGGTTGCTTAACTTCTGAATTCCTGTTGATGATCCGCTAGTCCGCTGCTTGTAAACTTTTACTTATAAAATTTGATTCAGAACCAATATAAATAATTCTTTAAAAAATATATCCAAATTTTAAAATTAATTTATGAATAATAAAATAGAAATGTAGGACTTAAAAAAATGAACAAATTTAATTTTTAAATTACGATTTGGTTTGTAAATCATTATTTTCCAAAACAAATTACAAATAAAAACATTGTAACAAATGTTTTGTTAAAATTAACAAATTAATTTGTTAAACAAAATCAACAAAATTCAATTTAAAGCAGTTTTCTCATTAAAAATAACGCAATAAATTAATGGGAATCGTTTGAAATTAATCAAACAAGAGTTTTGAATACAAAAATTAAAATTTAATTAAATCAATTATTAACAAATAAATTTGTTGATTTAACAAACTCAATTGTAAAATTTTTAACAAATAGTTTGGTTGAAATTTTTTTTACCCATGTAAACTTAACCAATAATTTGTTAAACTAGTTTAACAAACATATAACAAATATTGTGGTTACTTTTTTTCTATGAGTGTATATTTTGCTTTTGCAATATATTTTAAAAATTATTTCACATTCACAAAACTACATACAAATAACAAAATGAAGTATGCACCGAGGAAAGAAAGTTAATATTGTATCAGAGCGGTACCACATCAGCGATTTTTATTAAATCGAGCCCGAATCTCATTAGTATCATACAAGTGCTCGGCTTTAAGAATTATGGACTGTTCGCTTTTTTCTCTCCTTTTGTCCACACTGTCAGAATAATTAATTAAATTGCGAGAAAATGAAGTATGAATATGTATATTTTCATATCTCTCGTTTTTAATTTCCGGTTTTTTAATCACTTGATAAATCACTTGCTTTTTTTTACGTTTTCGTTTTTATAAATTTATACAGTTGGTTTGACGGTTAAGGTAATAGTTCGCGGATTTAAATTAATTTCCTTATAAAACATCCAAAAAATATTGGTTTCTAGACAATTAAATCCTCATTAAAATTAACGAATAAGATTGATATAATTAATTAAAATAATGAGTAATCTCGGTTCAAAAATCCATTTAAATTTATTTTCAATATTAAACGGATATTTGTTTGACTGTTTTTATGTCTTTTTAATAAATAACACTTTTTCTACTTTCACAGCAAATTTTCACTTTTTCTCAGATAAAATTTTGAATAGAGGCAAATAAAAATCCAATCAGAATGAGCATCTCCAAAATGTTTTCTAAAGCAAGAACAAATGGATCAAAAATATAATTGCAATGTGAGTTATTTGTTCCTTTTTAACTTTCATGTAGTCGATTAAAGTTTCAGTATTCTTTAAGCTGAATAAACAACAATAACAACGACGTTCTCATAATGTTGCCTTTATAATTAAATATTTATGAATACTAACATAGAATAAATATTTTTTCCACAAGCGTATTGTTGAGATTTTTTTAAATTTTTCTTTCGTCAAAGCTTTTATTCACATTAAAAGAAATAATATCGTGGCTCGTTTGAAAACACTATTTTCGTTTTTATAATACACTTTTTATTCATATGTATCATATGTACACGTTTGAAATTTGCGATAATTGATTTCTGAATAATTTTAAATACTTAATCTTTAATATTCTTTGCAATTATTTTTGTGCAACTTTTATGATACTTCCTTTTCACATCAAAACTCATTAAGGGTAAACAAAATAAAAAAAACACGATTCATTCACTCTTCGATTTTTTTTTTATTAATATAAGTTTTTTTCATGTAGAAATTTCTCACGACTTAGTGACAAAATTAATTTTCATTTTAAATTCTGAGTAGATACGTCTGTTTTGATGAAATGCTATGATCTTTCTGAATTCAACAAACGGTTTTTGAACAAAATATTTACTCCAAAATTTGGAATGATGAGAATAACCGAGTGAGAATGAAAGAAAAAGAATAACTACATCAAGTTGTTTATCGCACTATTTCACGAAACAAAGCGCATACGATGCATCAAAATGTATAGCAGGTGCTTTTAAATTTAAAGGAGAACATTTTGCCATTCCGACATAACATTCAGCAAAACAAAAAGTTTTATAGAAACACTAATTTAGAGTCCTCTTACATCGCATGTGCAGAACGTCGTAGCCGACAAAAAAATGAGAATAGAGCCACACGACTCTCACATTTTCTTTTACTTTTATTCCATTTATGTTCAGAGCGGCTGGCAGTCAGATATACACAAAAGGAACATTTGCAAAGTTGATCAAGGAAAAAAAATTAAAATATAAAAGGAAGAAAAAATGTGTTTAGCTGCCTTTAAGGTAGGTAGAAGGTGAATGGTGTTGTATGCAAAAGGCAACTAACATCGTTTAAAATTTCGAAAAAATAAAAATTGTACATAATAGAATAGCATATGTGTGGAATTTAATGATGAAGGTTTCATCGCAAGACAAATGTCGATGAATATAAATAATATAGATGAATGAACAGGCTTAAAAGTAATTTTTTTTAAATTGTTCGTTTTATTACTGCTGCGCTGTTCATGTTAGGATGAAAAAAAAAACAGCAAAATAGTAGTCAAAATAAACTTAAGAATTCATGAAAAATATAAAATGTTGTATAAAATGATATTTCCTTTAAAATGAGAAACAGGATATTTATTAATAAAGTACTTATTAGTTTATTTTGTTGGTATATTATATTAATTAATTATAGGTAAATAACTTATCATTGGAATTTTATTAAATTTAATTTCTTAGAATATCATTACACTTTTTTGTAAAACCCCGTAAAAACTTGTAAAAATTGTTTGAATATAGCTATCATATTTTAAAAAATCGGAACGAGCCACATTTTAAGAAATCACAATAAAAAGATCCGTTATTAAATGCAGCTGAAGTTCCTTAAAATCCAGAGATTCATCATGTGTAATTTTCATCATTAAAAGAACGGCAAGAACAGTACTTAGTTTCAACCAAAAATATTAACGTTTATAAGTAATAATGTGCCAAGTATGGAGTTTTAAAAGAGCCAGTATAAAAGTTGTAAAGATGTTTGGTTGAAAAAATAATTATAAGGCAGACGAAACATGTTGACCGATTAAAAGCATTCAAATTCATGGAAAGAAGGAGCAGGTGTTTTTAGACGAGTGCGTCATATTTTCATTTTATTTTACCTCTGTTAACTGGCAATGCGGGATGGGTCTCTATAGAGCTATTTGGTCTTGCTTAATTTAAAAAAGCATGTTTTTTTATTATTCATCTCTCAAGCGCAAAATTTTGTTTTTATTTTATTTTTCATGTTTGCTGGTTTTATTAAAAGGGAGAAGCATAATGGAATTGAATGGACACGGGTAGATGAGGTAGCTAAAATGCAAAGTAAATTCAAACATGCAAAAAAATATGAAACAAGCACTCAATGTTTTATTAAGAAAAAAGTGTATACAAAGCATTTAAAAAATTGATCGTTTATTAACACATTCAAAAATATATGCAGGAATTCAAGAAAAAATGTTATAAAATTTAAAATTAGTTTTTTTCTATGAAGTTTTTTTTTATTTTTTTTTAAAAATTAATAATTTCATATAAAAACAGCACTTTAAGTGGACTAACTGCAAAGAAACCAATTTGAAGATATGAAACATGAGAAATAATGAATGTCGATTATGCAGGTAGAGTGAATAAATATAACAAGTTCGTATCTTTATTTATATATTCTTTGTAAATTTAAAAAAAAATATTATATAGGTACATTTTTATTTTCAACAAATTTTCAATTTTTTTTTCAATTCAATTCAACTTTATTAAACCATTCCGGTTGTTTTTTAAAGAAGATAGTTTACAATTAAACTTAATAACTTAAAATTAAGTACCTGATATTCAATTTAAGCAAAAATCACTGTTAATTAATATGGCATAATTATCTCTCCTTCTTTGAGGAAATTTTAAAGTTAATAATAACTTAATTTAGGTAAACATGCATGCTAAGCATTTAAAAAAAAAATCGAAACTTAATTGAATTTTTACTACCAAACACATTCAGATGAATGGCCCAAAGAATCAATTTCAGGATTAATGCAAATAAAAAAATGGCTTTATCAAGCAAAAAAAAAAAGAACAAAAGTAGCTAAATTATTTTACTGGAAGAAGTAGGACAGTTAATTAAATTTGAATAACTGCTTTTAGAAACAGGTGAAAAAGTTTCAGCATTGCAATTTTTAGAACAGAGCAAAATTAAATTATCTTTAAAAGCTTTACGTTCATAGAAGTTTAATTTAAAATATTCTCCGTTGTAAATTTGGAAAGTAGACACTTCTTTACATACATCATTAATTTCAGACCTTAGAATATTTAAGTCATTTTCATTTCTGATCAATTTCTTCTGTGCCAATTGTCTGAAATCATTTTGCTGATTTGTTGATTTATTGTACGACACAGTAACGCCTTGACTATTCACATTAACATTTTCAATTAATTTAGCATTTTTTAAATCGTAGCAGACTCTCAACAACTTCCATATTTTGTAGCTCCAAAAATTCCTAACACTGTAACGAATCAAATCAAAATTTTCATTAATGAACTCTTTTTTACCAAAATCCGTGATCTGACGCTTCATATAATTTACAGCAATTGAGTTTGTGAATTTAATTCCCAATATCAGTTCATTTTCATAAGAGTTATCAGTCTTGACTGATACTTTTTGGATTAGGACATCTATGATTGTTTTGTGAGGTTTGTTGAGCTTAATATTCATTCGACTGAATATTTTCTTAGCTTAGAAGAAGATATGAAACATGAGAAATAATGAATGTCGATTATGCAGGTAGAGTGAATAAATATAACAAGTTCGTATCTTTATTTATATATTCTTTGTAAATTTAAAAAAAAATATTATATAGGTACATTTTTATTTTCAACAAATTTTCAATAATATGCTATCTAGGTTATGTAATTAAAATTGAATCAAACATCAGTATGAGAAACATTTTTTAAAATTCAAAAAATATTCTCGAATATTTTACTCGTTCTATATGTATATAATAAATATTTTTGCAAAAGAATTTACAGAATAGAGCCTTTTGAAATCATAAAACACATATGCAGTTGAGACCGTGTATGCATTGAACGGCAATTACATGAGAAACTCATAGATTTAATTGATGTTGGTTGAAGCATGAAATTGGCTAATTCCATTACACTCTTTGCAGAAATTATCGGAAAATTTTCGAATAGAAATTAAAAAAAAAATAGATGAAAAATTTATAGCTTTGTTTTGAGAGTAACTAAGAGTTGTGTACGGGAGACGAACGGATGTGGAAAATTTTCCTCGAACGTACATATCCTTTCATTTATGCATTATATATTTTCTACATTCAATTTTTCACACAAATAAATATAAATATAGAGGAGGTAAAATAAGCATTTAGAATGTATTCATCTATTCATGCAGAGATAATATGTTAGTAATACGACATCATTAAAGTGGCAATTTTTCCATACAAATATATATAACAATAATTTTTTTAAATAATTATTCAACTTTTAACTGCCATTAGTTAAATAATATTTTATAAGTTTATGAGTTTATGAGATGAAAAGAAGAACAAAAGAAAAATGATAGAAAAAGTAAAGAATATAGATAGAAACTCAATAGTTGAAAAGAATTTGAAAAAAATATACAATGAGCTCATTCATATATGACGTTCAAGAAATTTTGTTTTTGAAAAATATATCACTTGTCATTTTGGGTCCTAATTTCAATTTAACTGCTGAAAAATAAAACTTATTTTATTCAGTATATTTTTGCAAACAAAAATTTGTTTCCATAAAATGTAATGCAATCAATAAAAAGTGCGAGTAAAAATGTCAGTCCTCATTTGAATTTATTTGCCTTTATCCTTAATTTAACCAGTCAACCTTCTTCAATTTTACATTTAATTATATTTCATGTCATTTACTCTTGACTTTAATAATTAAATTTTATGAAAACTTTGATCTATTTTCCTTGTTTGGAATCAGCCTATCTAGCTCAATTAAACCACCACAACAAAATTAAGGACAGTTTTTGTTTGCAATAAAAAATAAAAGAATGACTAAAAATGTGAAGCCAAATTGTTTTTTATTTTGGAGAAATCTATAAAGTCAAGCGTATTTGTTCTTCACCTGGCTAGCAGGTGGAAAATATTTCTACCTTTCTGAATTTAAAATGATGTTAGAGACTTAATAAAATTTAAATTCTCTCTTCTTAACGAATTAAATTCAGATTTTTAAGAACTCTTATTTATGTTGGTAATACAATTTTTTAGCAAACTATATTTCAAGATACACTACTGTGCCACCTAAAACCATGAGGTGTGTCTCGACACACCAAATTTTCATTACATTAGTAGTTTAATGTGTCGCACACTGCTAAAAACACTGATTAATTTAAAATTTGAAACTACATAAACACTTTCGAATGTATCTTAAAAGCTGTTATTATTTTAGATGTTATGAAAAGAAAAGAGAATGTATGGTAGTAATGTAAATCGTGAGTTGCAAGCGAAATATGTAGCTTTCATAGGGTACATGATGAGAGTAGTTAGTTGTGATGTAAGCTTTCAATACAAATGTAGAATTCATCATCTCTGAGATTTACTTCCTAATACTTCCTATTACTTCTTAAGAACATTTTAGTTCTAAAAATAAGTATCAGCCAATCCTCAGTTTGAAGAAAAGAACATCTGATAATATGACATGTGGTTTATTGAATTAATTGTATTATCATCTTTAAAAATTAGCAATACATCTGCCACCAGTTTAAGGCAAAAAAGGAAAATTAAAATAAAATTATAACTTTTATATTTTGGCAACGACACATAAATAAGTTAATATAGAAAAGAAGGTAAAACGTAACAAAAATTGGAGAATTTTATCGCCTTAAAATGAATAAAAAAACAAAAATATAATTTTAATATCACATCTGTCTATTCTACACGATGAGTGTATATAAATGCAAAAGATACGAAGAGCGCAAAACAAAATGAAAAAAAAACTTGATTAACATTTTTCTTTGTTTTTACTTAATCCCTATAGCTTTAAGTGATAATAATAAGTTGGAAAGAACAGCGGGCACAAGATGTTTGCAATGAAATTTTGATGTTATTGGCACCTTGTCAGCTATGCACAAATAAAAATTGAATGCAAAAGAATATAAAATTGAAAATAACATGTTGCTATCTTAAGAAAAAATAAAAACTCAGTTTTTTTAACATATGAAAATAAGGAATGAAAGAAAAAAGTCAGAAATTTGATATAAATTGGGAATAATTTGCATCAAAAAGTATTATGCCAGCTGGAAAATATAGTAATGTAAACGAAAGCCAAACAAGGCATAATAATTCTTATGATAATTGAAAAGGTTATGGTCGTTTTTTAACCTTATTCGCAAGTTTAATTTATGCATAATTTTTCGTGGTTCCGTTTTTATATATTTTGGTATATATTGTAAAATGGGGGCGAGTATAAAGCAAAAAACTGTTGAATCCTCGTAAAGCAATTCACGTAATTGTGTAATTTTACTCAATTTCTTTTTTATGTTTTCACTTCTCCATCTGCTTTCCTTTTTCGTCTTATTCACGACAGATTCGAGCTTTTATTTCTTTATTCCTGCCAATATCCTTAAAAAATTGAACTTAATCATCAGATTACAACAGACACTCAGTGGAAAAATTTATGTGAGAGTTACCATCGAAAACTCTATGTGAAATGTCAAGCTGTTTCTTACATTTGAGAAACGTGCGTCGAAATTTTGGAAGCATTCAGGGCACGTTTCATTGAGAACAAAAAAAGGAAGAAGAAAAAAGAATAGACTGTTTTATCAAATAAATAGAATAAAGCTGAAAATTCTAAAAATGAGTAAAAGTGTTTACAAAAAAAATAACGATTTTTGAAAATTAGCTTACAACTTACTACGAAGAGGATTAGAAGCATTTTTTCAAGTCTTTTATTGATTTGACTTTCGTATTTTTAATGTGCTTCTGCTTTGAAAAATTTGAAAAATACTTATTCTACTTGTAATGTCTTTTTTTCGATTTTCTTATGAAAAAATCAAATCACAAATCACGTTTACGATGAAATAGCATAGCATATCAGTGCTTAAATTACGATTATTTTAAAAATTTATATCTTTTCGATTCATTGGTTTTTTTAACATTTAAAGAAATAAAGTTAATTCAGAAAATTTCGGCTAAGCATCGACTAATTTGAAATCCCGAGCTTACTGTAGCTGAATGCTGACAAATTATGACAAACAATCATAGTAAAGCATACAAAATACAATTCTAACACTTGAAATAAGTATTAAATGACTTTTCTCTTTCAAAAACATTAAAAACTTATCACTGTAAAAGCTATTAATTGGATTAAAATCACAAAAAGCTTTTATTAACATATTTAACCATCCTCATTCCTAAATATTTTCTTTGACATATTCTTTAACAACTATACAATATTATATGCTTTCCACAATTTCAATAGCATTTTTAATCTTGAAGCAGCAAGCTTTAATTTGCACTATATATGTATGTTCTATTGCATTAGGTATTATGAACTCATGGAGCTAATGTTTGCTTGTATTAGAAAAAGAAAATTTAAATAAAACTTGAATATTTGGAATGTTCATACAATTTCCTTTTAGGATTCCATTTCAGTGAATACAAAATATTTTAGTTCCTCCATACAGAGCATTGATAAAGAATTATGATTTATGATGTTGACTACATAATCTGATAAAGTTTCGAAAAATCTTTTTGAAATTATATACTGTCATAGACACATTTTGAGTCAATTTACGATAATTGAGACATAGACTAGAAATCTATTTTATCAAACTTAAATAAATTGAAAAAATATTAATATCTCTTTCGTCCAATTCTGTTCTTAGATTTTCACTTTCGAGTTTAAAACCAAATGTTTACTTCACAAATGTACATCCTGGTACATCCTATCTACAGATAAAAATTACAACAGCATTGAAATATGTAGAGAAGCAATATGCGGGAAATGTTTGATGTTATGTTATTACCCCAGGAATTCAAAATACTGCAATAGTATGAAAATATCCGAAAAAAATTTACCTCTTTAAATAAACACGTACATACAAAAATGTATGCACATGTGTTTGTCACGATACATAGTATATGACGTAAAGCAGAGAATCAGAGTTAAATGTGTTATTCTTTTAAAAAAGAAAATATCGTACAGAATGAATGTGAAATGTGAAAAGAGAAAATGTTGCTTCAAGAAGTAACAATCACAACATCCAACTTCTATATATTCATTTGAAAGGAGCTTTCAGAGTTCTGAAAAATTTTCTCATCTGTGAAATGTGATTCAAATGATTTCGTAAATTGCCACAAAGCTCATTCGTTTTGCAATAGCTTCAGCGGTAATATCAACAACGACAACAAAAATATATGAGTGAAAATTCATGAAGAAAAGACGAAAGAATGAAAAGTAAATATTCTTTCCTTTTGCATGAAAATTCAATTTACATTCGGCATTTTCTTAATGGATGAATCGCTTCGAAGTATTTAGAGAAAACAACAAAAGCTTTTAACGAATGTTTTGATAAATTTTTGGGATTTATGTGATGGATTATATTTTGAGATATTTTAACACATGAAGAAAATAAAATATAAGATTAATATTAATATTTTATACTACAATTGAAAATACTGTTTTTAAATACTTTAAATTCGATTGATCATTTTTTTCATTATTTTTTTGGCATTATCTTCTAAATGAAAACATATATGTACGCATAAGTATTAGAATTTGTGAAAAGGAAACTAAATCACACAGATAGATCAAATTAAATAAAAAATAAAATAAAAATGTTATCAAAAATTTTATGTTTGCAATTTGTTGTAATTTTGACATAAATCATACAATAATATTTACGCCTACAGTGTTATGAACATGAATAAGGCAGAAAAGTTTACTCATTTTGTTGATGTTTCATAAAAAAAAGTTTTTCTTTCAAAGCTCATGAAAAAAGGAAAAGGGAATTATTCGTTCATTTAAATTTGATCCATAAAATTTGAATTTATCTTCTGATTTCTTTATATTTTCGTGTTCTAGAAAATTTTACACATAAATATTTTTTTGTAACTTTGTTTTTTTTTACATATTAAAAAGAAAATTTATGTTTTCTAAAGAAAACTCATGTATTTTATACAGTTTGAACTTTAAAGACTTTTTTCTAAAAAAATTATAAGATATAGCTAAAAAGCACTGCATAATAATGACATTAATCTTTTGCAAAACGCAAATTTTCAATAAATTCGATTATTATTTTCGAATCTTTTACAGCTCGTGAAGTTTAGGAAAGTCATATTTCTTCATTATTAACAAAAATACAATATGTTTAAAAAGTATTCAATAATAGGAAACAAAAATTCAGAGAAAAAAAATGAAAAACTGAAAAACTTTTTTTCTGTTGTGTCACGTGTTATGAATGATTTGTTTGCATGCGAAAAGAATATGTGAATGAAATACATAGTTCCGAATGAAAAGTTTCAAATGTGATATTTTTCTGACATATAAAACGGAAACTTATTTTTATCATGATGCCATGGTTTTCAACATTTTGTCATTCAAACCACAGTGATTTACATGGAAAAGAATGGTAATGTGAAATGTATTTGATATACGCAGTTCGTAGTTGTTGTGAGGATGGATGCCATTTAAAAATGTATCCCTCGTTCTCTTATTACGTTACGACAAAAAAAAAAACAACTTATAGAATACGATTATGCTCACAAAATAAAATGAGAAAAAAATAAGATTGAAATTGTCGCCATCAAATGAATCTACAATGACAAATAAATCAATGAATTTTGTTAGCAAGTCTTTTAAGTTTCCCTCATTTTTGTCTCTTAATTTTCTCGCTAAGAAAGTGTACGTATTTTTCTATGCTCTAAACTAGGTATCATTTTATTTTCTATTACCCATATTTGAAGCTGATTGAAGATTGATTTATTTTTTACATCAAACGCTAATAGATATACGTGATTAGGAAATTTTCTTCAATCATCCATAACCTCGAAAAATTCCTGGCTACGCCTCTGATAAGTTTGTATAAAGCAAAATTTGAAATAGAACAAATAAACAAAAGTACTGAAAAATACTCATTTGAAATTTAAAGTTCATAAAAAGTTTTTAAATAAAAATGCTTTGATTTTAATTTTTTTTTGACAAAAGCATTGAAAAAAATAACCGACATTAAATAACCATCATTATCATCAATAAACTTTTTTGTTATAATCATCTTTTATTTTATTGATAGACACTTTCTGTACAGATTGTTAAAAATATATTGCGATACTTGTCAACAAATAAAAAAGCACATCACACTTTAATTTTTGTCTATATTTTATTTTATACACAGATTGTTCACAGCATTGTTGAGTTTGTGTTTTTTGTGTTTTTGTCAGCAATAATGACATTTGTCGGTTGAGAGTTTTCATTCAAATTTGTTGATTGTATTGATTGCAGCTCTGCTGATTGTGGAACGGAGCCTTGCGATGCCGCTTCTGCAAAATGAAGTCCTATTATTTTGCTGCTAGCTTGTTTAAAGTGGTCACTCAATTTCACTTGAACCACATTTATGCACATCGATGTCAGTGCAAGACCAAAAATGAGATATAAAATTGAAGCCATCATGTAAAGTGGGTGTGATGGAACAAAATCACCAAATCCTTGAAAAAATCAAATAATATATTATATTAAATTAATTTAATTGAAAAATAAGTATAGGCATACCAATAGTGCTAATTGAAATAAACACAAAGTAGAAAGATTCAAAAAATGTCCAATCCTCTTCCAAAATACAATAAATTGCAGCTCCAAAAATCATATATCCAACCAGCATTATAATTGCAACTGAAATTGGCAAATTAAACTCGTCGTCGATTTCATAATTCTTTAAATTTTCTGGAAGAGGCGTCATTGGAGATTCACCAGGCGGGCCTCCTCTGCTATTTTCTTGCTGTTGCTGAAAAGTTCTCATAACATTGGGATCAAAAGCTAAAGAAGGACGCTTCATAATATCATACATTGCATTTAATCCACGCATCATATCCTGTAAGAAAACACAAGTACTTTATGCATGTATTTTTTAAATGAAGTGTTAAAAACTAAAGTTCTTACTTGTGCTGGTGCTGTTTTTCTAACTTTTCTACAAGAACCTGTATAATAAAGTCGTCTTACGAAAACCTAAAATGTGATTTTGAAACGTTAAAGAAATTCATTTTTATTTTTATTTTATTTTTTTTTTTAAGAAATAGCTATTCAAGTGAATAAAGGGTAAAGAAACGATAATGAAGAAGACAAAACCATAAGATTTTTTTTTGTGGCAGCAACTCACCCATAAGAATTTGATTATCCGTGTAAAGAGTTTACCAAAGTCAGCAAGAAGAATGAGAAAAATAGGAATACCAATAATGGCATAAACGATTGTTACGATGCGACCGCTCACAGTACGAGGACTTATGTGGCCATATCCTGAATAAAAAAATGGTTTGAGTTCATCGTGTATTAAGAGATTTACTTTCTGGTCGTTTAATTAAGACATAAAAATTCATTTTTATGTAAATAGAGTAAGGGTAAATTTTGGCTAACACGTAGCATACTAGGTAATAATTACCACATGCTTCCGCATTTTTTGGCTTACCGATTGTGGTAGAAATATCGAGACAGTATAGTACTGCATTTACAAAATTCCATGTTGTATGACCGCTGTACGTGATCATACCTCCTTCAATTGCCGCTTGCAGCTCCTCCTCAAACTTTCGTAGTCTTATACGTGCCATCGATTTCCAATCTTCTTCCCTAAAATTTACCATTTAAATTTTTTTCTCATAGAATGTTTCTAATTGCATTCATTGAAATATATTTTAATAATTAGAAAGTTTAGTTTAACGCTAGGCAAGAAGAGGTTTCAGATAATGTGACCATTGAAACACAAGAATTTTTGTATTTACACCGTTTATAGAAAATTTGTGACTTTTCCCACAAATCTTAAATCTGTGAAACATTAGGCAGGTAGTATGTACCTCCTATGCTTATCATAAAATATTCTTGACAGAAAAAGAAATCACACTAATGTTCGCATTATTCTGTTATGAATGATGAATATTAAAATCATTCATGGATTATAAAATTCCTTTAACCTTTTCGAATAGAAAAGCGCTTGTAGGTTCATTTAAAACAGGGCATCTAAATTCAATGACTAAAGCGAAAATTCATGATGATTGATAAGAAAGATATTCGCATGAATTTTTTTTACAACATTCAAGGAAATATTTTTACTCTCTCCATTCTATTTTTTTCACATATGCGTGACATGATTCAGAAATGATCCAGTTACGTACATTCATTCAAACATTTTAACATTATATATATTGTGTTTTGTAAAGAAATCATATACACATTTGAACTTTGAAAAGCGAATAAAGCAGGAATGATGAAAAAAGTGAAAAACTTAAGGCAAATACTATAACAAGAAATTGAGTTAACGCTTCATATGCATTATATATGTACCTTAAATTATGACTCGACAGCCACAATTGATCGATAAAATCTCTTTTTACTCGTTTTACTCCTGTTTTGTTAAGCATTTCAAAATTTCCTTCAATGTAGTGTAAAATTATTCCACCTGTCCCGCAAAGCATCATGAGCATTAGCAACTCCGATATGCACTTTTTCAATTCATATAAAATGTGATGCCATTCGGATGAATATAACTTTTTATGCTCTTTCCATATGTGGCGAAATTCATTGTATAATAGCATACATAATGGCCAAAAATGCATTGGAATTATGTCATCGAAATCATTTTTTTCGTACTCCTTATTGTCTTTATTTTTTCTTTCTATTTCTGGTACTATTCTATCATTTGATTTTTCTACACCGTTAAGCATTTCCTTTCCGTTAAGGTGACTTTGGGCTATTTGCTGAACATTCTTACTACACTCCCCAATTTCGTTATCATTTTTGTCATTTTTACACACTATTTCCTCATTATCATTTTGGCATTCTTTAGATTTATTTTCGTTTACTGATGTCTGTAAATTTTCTACGACCGTGATTTCTTGTTCACTTTCTGATCCTGATTCCTGCGCTTCTTGCGAATGCAAATTCTCGTTGACTTTATAATCAATTATAATTTTCCTGGCTACCATGTAGTCATTTGGATTGTCAATATCATAATTAGGTCTTATTCCTAAACGTTTTGCTTCTAATTCTCTTTTATATCGTTCAAATCGTTGCAACCTTAATCTGTCTAATTCACGTTTATCTTCAAGAAATTTGAGCTTTTCCATTTCAAATTGACGCCTTTCTTCTTCAAATCGTTTCAAATTATGTTCTAAAAGTACATTTTTTTCGTCGTTGCCATTACTTTTATTGGATAATTCATAATTTTCTTTTTCAAGTAATGAGATTTTCATCTCTTGCATTTGTGGTGTAAGTTTTACACTCTCAACAGAGCCTTCACGCTTTCTATGAAAAAAAAAAAATAATTTGAATTTTACAAGATTTTGCTCTCACTATGCATATTTTATTTAACATAAAATAAAACAAACCGTGGAGCTGATAAGCTTCTTTTTGCACGTCGTAAGTAGGTGAAAATATCATTGTTCGTTTGACATGATGCTGATTGTCTTGATGATGATTGGCTTCTATGAACTGCTTGGGCCATGCTTTTTTCCTTTTTACTTTTTTTGAACCCACAAAATTGAAGATGTTATATGTTTACAAATAATTCAATGAGAAATATAAAAAATAAAATAAAAGGTTTTTTACTGATCTCCGTTTTTTGGATAAAACTTGTAAACAAAATAACGCTGGTTTGCTTCATAAAAATCCAAAACCATAAATTTTCTAAAATATGTACCTTAATATTTTAGCACGATACGCATGTGATCCTGAAGAATTAGGTCCAGAACCAGAAGAGGATGAAGAAATTGACCCCACGGGTGACGGGGGACCTACATTTAAAATACCCTTTACTACATATCTTGTTTCATTAGAATCTGTTTCTATGGATCGATTTTTTGAAAAGTCTTGTTCAAGTACTTTCGATATTTTTTCTGTTCGATTTGGATCAGGAGTTGTTTCGCGTGTAGTACGACTCGTGCGGCGTCGAATAGAAGACGAATTTTCCATTTTTTTCTCTCACAGTTTTTTTTTGCTTTTAAACTTAAAAGTGGTTTTTGCTATTTTTCTCTCTTTTTTCTTTTTTCTTTAGCAAGTTATGAGCAAAGAAAAAATTGAATTGAAAAAATTCAAAACTCAATTTTCAACCATAAATTTTAATAAAATAAGTTTCTCTTCCCACTTTTGCACTTTTCCACATACAAATATACACATTCATTCAACCTTATGCGGATGAAACGATTGGGGTTAGTTTTCGAAGCAATAAGGATGAAAAATTATTGAGAAATTTTATTTGCAAAAAAGGGATATATAATAAAAGAAACTGCAAAGATGAAAAAAAAAAATCTGAACTTTTTCACTATAAAAACCAATTTTCTAGTTAGTAGCTCAAGTGAAGGAGAAATACTGAGATAGAGCGAGAAATTTCCAATATGAATGTTCTACAGATTTTTTTTTCACAATTATAAATAGATAGAAGAAAAAATTAATAAAAGAAAATAGTCTCTCAAAAAGTTTTACTCAAGCCAACTCAAAATATGTGTTCTGAAATTTAGCTCGTTTATCTTGTCGTATTTTAAATTTTTAATTGAATTTTTTGTTTTAAATTTTATAATACATCAAAAATAATAATTTATTTTATTAAAAAGTTTATATTACAGACTATAACGTAAAAAGAAATGGAAACTAAGCTACTCTTAAAAGCTTAATATTTAATAAACATCGTCTTGGTGTGATTTATGAATGAGCAAAACATATACGTCATTGTTTTTTTTGAGAATGTAAATCTGTTTCGTCATATATTTTGAATCTATTTTTAAGTGGTTGGAGAATAGGTCAAAACCGTATATATACAAATGTAAATAAATAAATAAATATAAAGGAAAATAAAAAAGAAATTTCACATTTGCTATGTTGTAAATAATTTTTGTTCGCTTTTTGGCATTACGAGTTTTTAAACACGTAATAAATTTGAGAAAAAATTCGCGCGTATGTTTGTCATTTAACTTTTTATCTACTTTCCGTTTCCATTTTTCTTATGTCATTATATGTAGGTGTCAGATTAACTTAACATGACTCACAAAATATTTAGAATGCTTTACATATATATTTTTAAAAAGCATCTTAGAAATTTTGTACGATTGTAAAAGATCCATTAGAAACTTTGCATCAGTTAACATCTCCCATATGGGATTAATAATTTTTCATTTATTTTTATAGCAGTAATTAATAATAATAACACACGAAAAATTTACGACATAAAATTTAAGACTGTGTAAAACAGTCTATATCAAACATTTTCAGTTGTATCACCAACTTAGGCCAAATTTTTTTTTCGCGACACACAAAAAAAAGGTCTAAACCTTATATTAAATTAATTTTGCTCAAAATTTTTTTTTATAAATTGAGTTTCACGACCTTATTTTGGGCATGAAAGGAAAAAGTGTCGCGACGCATAGTTTGGAATTCACTGGTTTAAAACATTAACACACATTAACATTGTTTGTTTTCACAGAAAACCATATTTTATATTAAAAATCATAAATTTTAGCTAAACGATAAATGATAATAGATGGTTTCAACGTAAGAATCAGTCAAAGATTTGTATATGAATTATACATTATTATTATGTAAGCTATGTCAAAATATTATTTATAATATATCAGCAAAATTTTTGAATTTTGATTTTTCAATAACCACGAATCATAAGTTTTTTAAAAAATGAATTGATTGAATATCTTCATAGCTCAAAGACCACATTATTCATGATCAATATTGAATTACAATCATTATTATTATCATCATTTTTAATAACATTTTAAAGGTTCCATTATTCAATTGAATTAAATACCATTTTACGTAAACATAAATTTTTAATATTAGCATATTGAACGTAATCCATCATTTCTGAGGGTAGGTTGGTATTTCACATTGAATAAAATAAAAAATATATTATTTATTACTGAGCAAAATTTTAATATAATGGCATTCTATTATTTACAAGTGAATAGGCTTTTGAATTTTTTTCAGCCGTAAAGAGATAATGTTTTAGCATGAAAAACTTTAAAGTGAATTAAATCATTTCCGTTTTTTTAAAAAAGGAAATTATTTTAATAGCTGTTATTTACAAAAGGACTCTTAATGATTTTGAAACAAACTTTTCATTTATTCCGTTTCAACACCCTGGTTGAAGAAACTGAAACAATAGTCTTTGGTTCTTTTTGAAGAAAAATAAAACCATTTTTTAATATTTTCCAGACTATTTTTTTTTTCTTTTAAAATTTGATCAATTATCTTTAAACGCTTTTTCTATTTGTATTATTATTTATTTGTTTGAATATGATATATTGTGAAAGTTACTTTTATCAAATTTTTTCATATTTTTTTTTTTTTTGATATATATTCTGACATATTCATATTTTTTTCTAAGGACTTAAGTTAACTCTATAAACCGCAATGATGAAGAGAAAATTTTTTAGAGAAGTTTTTGTTTCAAAACTTTCCTCACGAACTTGTCTGTGTTGAAATGAATCATAGAATGTTTTAGATGCATTTTTTCCATAGAAAAAAAAAAATAGTTTTATAAACGAAAATTGTGTTTATATGTAAATTTTTTTTTTCAACACAATTTTAATTGTACTCTCGTTTAAATTTTGAATAAATAAAATAAAAAAGTTTTGATGCAAACATGTGTTTATAAATTAAGAACAATTTGCATTTCTGATCCAGAAGCAAACGAGTAAAACAATAGCGACAATTTAATATATTCAGTTTAAATTTTTCTTTTCCTACCTAAATGCTCCACTCTTAAAAATAATCTATGCGACATTTCAATGTTGATAAAAAAAACTGTAACATTTTTAACTAGTTAATGCAAATTTCTTTTTTCTTTGATTTATTTTGAACTTTAATGCATTTAAACTACTAATTTACTACATGTTGTCTAAAATATAACAATAAAATTGGATAGGAACCAATCATTTTATAATAAAGTTATATTTTATTTCTGATTTTCACAGTTTCACAGTTTTAAAATCACATTAATGAGGTAAACATCTGGTGAACTACGTAAATATCTCACCACATCGTTTTTAAGCAAGTGTTGATAATGAATACATAAGTATAAACACGCCACAAAAAGTGATGTGAAAATTGTCAAAAATTTTGTCACAACAGGCAGAAGAAATAATTAATGGATGTAATGATCTTTTTAAACATAATTTAATTAAGGGGGAAAATGAGCACACTTTTAATTCTTTTATTACTTAAGTAATTCCATTTTTATGGCAAAATAAAAAAATTATTTATTTGGGCTAAATTAGGGTAGTTTTCATGTAATTTATCGAAGTTGTTTTTGCTGGTCATCATGGATGAAAATATTTTAATATTGTTTATTGAAATTTTATGTGAATAGAAAGAATTTATTTTTTATTGCAAAACAAAAACTGATTAAATAGATGTTAACCTTTATTTTGAATTCAAAAAAGGTACTTTTTCTAAGATTTGAAACCTTTTGACTATAATTTTTTTTACTATTACTAATATCCCTTTAAGGCATATCATCTTTCATAAAAGTAAAAACAGGTAAAAAAATAATATTGCCAAAATTTACCCATATCATTCAATAAATCATATTAAAAATAATATAAAAAAATTAGCTTACTCACCAATTGTTGTATAAATTGTGCCACAGTAAAAAATCGCATTGAAAAATGTCCACGTCTTTTTCAATTCAGCATTATCATACTGTCCTTTTTCAAATGCTTTATAAAGTATCAACTCATATTCATATAATTCTCTTGTAAATTCTCCTTCCCATCTTAAATCATCCTTTTTTGAATAGTAAAATAAAACTCAAATATGCAGTTTATTCTTGCAAACATTAAATTTACCTGTAGTAATTCAACATTAGATGACAAATTTCTGGCTGTTGAGCTGAGTTTCATTCTTCCTTTTCTTACATCTTCAAAGAATTGTGTTTCTGGAGGTCCTAAAAAACCACAAGAAGAACAAACATCATAAGTCGCTTTCCTTTAAACCCCTGATTCAAATTATATAATTAAAAATTATTATTAAAATAATTACTCTTTGAAAAGTTTTAATTTCAAAAAAGCGCAAATAACACTTTGCCTATTGTATAGAATTCTACTGATTGCATCGAATTCGTCAGGCGTACCAATAATTGAAAAAGGCAATTTGTATCGATTTTTCTTCGGCTCACGTACGTTTGAGTCTATTGATTCGATTTTTTTGCTATTCCAACTGTTTATCTCTTTTTTTACATCTATTCAATAAAATTTGTCAATCCATTAAGAAACCTCACGAGCTGATAAAACAATTTTCTTATTATTATTTTTCTAATGTAAATGTAAAATAACATCGTGAAACGAAAGCAAAAGCTTAATCGTAACAAAGGAGAAATAATGTTCATTTTAAATCGTCAAGAAAACGTGATGGACTTCTTTATGGCTCCTTTTTATACTGTTGATTTGTTTTTTTTTTTTTGGTTTTAATGTGTTGATTCAATTGTGAAATTGTTTAATGTCATTTCCTTGTTTTCGACTGTATTTATTATATATTAACTTAAACAAACAATCAAAGACACTTTTGAAAATAGCATCACATAAAAACAAAATTGTTTTTAAGGTTCGTTCATTCAACTATTCAATATTTTGGCAATTTTTCTTTGAAAAAAAGAGATTGGGGGAAGTTTTGAAAATTCTGAAAAGTGGTTTTTTGCGTATCATAATAAGTGAATGAGCTTTAAAGTGTATGAAATTGTTTATGACACGCTTTAGACAGACGATTATTTTTATTGATTTTATTATACATAAATCTTTTTTTGCTGCAATCTACATTTTTTTTGGAAAAACATACTTGAGAAAATATTAGAACTATAAGCACTTCAAAAAGGACCATACAAAATTTGCGAGTGTATGTATGTGTTTAAAACCCCTATTGGTTTGGTTAATTTAAAATCTTCATGAGTATGAACTTTTTCATATTGTGTTTTATGTTCTATGATATGTTTCACCAACATTATGGTTGTCAGATATCCTGCTGATATAAGCTATCTCGTACACTTAATGAATCATCGTTGTCATCATCATCATCATATAAATTAGATCATTTAAAAGATTTTCTTCATAGGAGAAACCAAAATGTGAGTCATAAGTGACAGTTTCAAATGCACGAAGAAAATAATTTTGGCAACATTAAAAAAAGATAAATCTTTGAACGATGAAAAATATCATATTCATACTAAATGTTCAATTTTTACCAACAAAACTGATACAAACCTTCAATCGCCATGAATAAGAAAGCTCCGGCAACGCTGTATAATGTGACGACAAGGAACAAGAATATGTGAGTAAACCATTTCTTACTAAATTTTCCAAACTTGGTATAGAGCCAAACGACACTCTTCTCGCCAACACTTAATCCCGATTTCCTAAAACGATTGAGGCCTTCAAACTGTTTAGACATAAAGTCACCAGCTCTCTGTGCATAGAGAGCTTGAAGAAAAGGATTTCCTTCTACATTTGGTATACTTGATACGCCTGTTAAAGGTATAAAAGGTGATGGTTGATGTGGATCCAACTCATACGCCCTTGAAGGAATTTGTAATGTTACTCGTGGACGCTGCTTATATATTGTATTATCTTCATCTCTATTAATCATAGTTGCTTCTCAAAAAATTAATCAGCTGATTGCGTGCTGAGTCTAAAGAGGCAATGTGCTCTTTTATTTTTGGATAATTTTCTTAAAATTCCTACTTTTGCACGTTAAGAGATGAAAGTATTTTCGAGAGATTTATATTTTTAATTTATGCTCGTTACTTTCTTTTTTTTATTTCTCAATTCACTTTATTTTATCAATTCTCTGATTCAGTTTTTATCAAAGTTTTTATTACGCTAAAAAGTCAGGAAATCGCGAAAGGAAAAATCCATTACGAGAAGAAATGCTCGATGCTTTTCTTATAGGAGATAAATTCAAACTGAGAAAAATTTCTTGTCGCATTTTGCGGATACTTAAATTCTACTTTAATTTTATATATTTTCTTTCCATTCTCAACCAACAACATACATGTGATGACGATATGAAATTTTCTTCTCATACGCTTTTGAGTCAAGCGTGAGACAAATAGTTCATTACTTTTATATTTTATAAATAGATTAATATTTTGAGACAAAAATAAAAATCTCAGAATCATTAATTAACTCTTAAAGCGAAAAAAATGAGAAAGTTTGTCTGAGATTTTAGGTTTCTCATTCAGCATAGTCATTAGTATTCACCTGAAATATTATGATTCAAGAAACAAATTTTAGTTAAGGGTTCAATTGCTTTTTTATTCAAGTATTCTATAATTTGATAGAACTTGCCAAGATGATTTTAACAAGGAGAGCATTTGAACACTCGTAGGAATAATGTAAAATATCATTTACAACTTCAACTTGGTACGTCTCCAATGACGTCTCTTTGCGTTGTAGCGGATTTTGTTTCCTGTACGCATTCTAATCCATTGAGGAATTGGGCGATTCTGTTTCAGCTTCTTAGCCAATTTTTGTTTTATTCTGAATGTCTTATGAGACGACATCTTCCTATCCTGAAGATACAAAAAATTAATTGATTGATTCCTAATGTTTACATTTTGTTTTGGATGTTTCTAGGTTAGATTTAAACAAAATAAAGCAATTTACCAAAATATACTATAATAGCTTGAATTCATCATAAGAATTGAATTTTAGATATAAAACATTAAAAACACACTTTTGTTACTCAATTTTCACTATAATTACTTCAAACAAAAGCCTAGCACATCAATGTTTTCATATTTTACTACTTACAGGGTTTTTTCTGATCAAACTTGATGCAAAATTACTCCTAGAAGTAATCTTCTGTTCCTAGAATATAATTTATACAAGTTTAAATTAGTAAAATTAAGTATAAACCATTTAATTTTATTAATTTCTTACTCAACACGACCTATCGATTGTCTGAGACGAAAGAAAAGAAAGAGAATTTACCGAGATGCATAAATTTTAAATTTGATTTGAATATCCGACTGGATTTGAATGTTTTTTGACCGTTATTTTACATTTCTCTAGAAAGATAGCTAAAGTGTCAAAAATTTGTACACACGAGGAGCTTTTTATGTTTATTTAACTCACATTTATATAAGACTAGTCCGAGTAAATAGTAAATTTAATTAATTTTTAAAAATCAACTTTTGTATCTTGAGAAAGTGACTCTATCAACTCGGTATTGTTCAAATGTAAACAATTCTAAAAAAGAATAATCGAAAATAATATTAAAACCAAGTTTCTTACTGAAAAGTGTGTTTAATTCATAGTTTTTTATTAATACTACTTATAGTGAAGTTTGAGTAAGTTTATAATAATCAGGCTGAATCAGGCTATTGACTGTAAAACATAATTTTCTACAAGGGTTTAAAAAAATCGGAAATTTCAAAAAAAAGAAACAAAAATTTATCTTTTCAATATATTTAAAAAGAAAGGTGATTTTGTTTACGAGAATGCTGTCAACCGAGGATGAATGGACAACGGAGGAAGAAATACAGGTAAGTGTATGGTAATTTTGTTTAGTTTGACGTTGAAAAAGAAAAAAAAATCATTATCAACTTTGTTTACGTTTTTTTCACTTTTTTCATCAATTTAATAATTTATTTCTTAGTTATTTCTTGCTCTGCATGGATTACGACCTGTTGGCATTAATAAGGTAATACCAGCTAATATAATGAAATTAGTTTTACTTAAAACCGATTTTTTTTTTGCTCCAGCATTTTTTTATGGTTTGTATTGTTGAGCGATTGCAAAAGACACTAAATCGGAAAATCAGCAGTGATCAAATTTGGAAGCATCTAAAAACAATGTATAATTTAAAAGCATTAGACGACTTAGAGCCATTACCATTTCCAAATAATGAGGAAAATTTTGATTTACCATTGGATTTACAAACAAAATTAAAAAGATCCGAGTCTGAAGACGGTGAATCCTCATCGAAAGAAACTGATCGTAAACCATCTAATATAGTATCGTCTACAACCACACAAAAGCCAAATATCAACAAAAGTTCCTCATCAAATACTGAGCGAAATGACAGAAAATCTCATAAAGCCTCAGAATCCGAAAGAATTCAACCAAAAAGGACAAGAGGCTCCATCCATCATGATGTCAATGCTGATGGAAATAATTCATCACCGGCTAGTACTCCACCTCCACAGCAAAACAAACGCCGTCGGATTTAAGCATCTCTGTTTTTTATTAATTATTGGTTAGCAATATCGCTCAAAATACCAAAGCATATTTAATTTCCATTCTCTTTCTTTTAATCATCTATCAACACAAAACAGTTTAACTAAATATACGATATAATAAAATATTTAGATTATAAAACTCTCACGGCATTCATGTATTTAATGAGAGGTTTCTACACGAGTTTTAGCGATTGATACTGAGAATACAGGAAAATATAGCACTTTCTATTTGTTGTGACATTTCTTCATGGTACATAGATATTATTACTTAGAAGTGATAATGCATATGCACATCTTTAAACTTTTGCAATCTCTATGAAAAAAAAAAAAATCGAAGAAAGAAAATAATTATTACTAGCTATTACGAAGAGGAAAAATGATGAAGGTACGATATTTGTTTAAATTATATTAATGTGTTAAGTCGAAGAGAATTCAAAGTAATCAATAATTATAAAAATTATAATAATAATAGTGGTTTAGAATTAATTTGTTCTTTATTTGTTCCTTTTTGACTTGTGTGCCAATCTTTTAAAGAAAATTTTATCCAGATTAATTGTTTATCTGTCCGTACGTGATACGCTCTTTAAACTCTCAATCCAAGTAAAATCGTTGAATTTTAAAAGACTTCATAATTAAGGTTCAAAATATTTAAAACATACTTTTATAATTACAGACTTGCAACATTTTATGTTGTCTCATGAGACATTATAACAAAATTGAAATGTCACAATTTATATTACTACATGTAAATTATTTTCCTTTCCTTGATTTTTCCATCTTGAAATATACATGTGCTATCAAGGGAGGAAGAAAAAAGACAGAAAATTTAACAATAAAAATCAAAAGGATAGGAAGCACATAACTCATATTTCATTATGTATTTTATGTTGAAGTAAAGCAAAAAAAACTAGATAAATAAAATATGACGATAAGAAAAATAAACAAATAAGTCGTAAACATTTGATTTTCTACCAAATTCAGTGAAAACAGCTCGCTTAGGAATTTGTTGCAAGAAGATCTAATAGTGGAAATCTCTCTTGTTTGACTTTTCTACTTTTTTCCTTTCCTTCGATCATTCGCTCATTATTTTGAAACAGTGGTTTTAAACTTATTAATGTTCACATAAAATTCGTAGAGAAGGATCTAAAATAAGTAGTTTATTGTGCAATGCAATAAGTAAAATTCCGTAAAATTTAGTAAAAATTACCTTTTTCCACCTTTTTTCCAGAAAGGACGACACACGAGTGTGTGGCGAAGTACTGAGTTAAAGCATTTTAACTCGAAATCAGAAACTCAACATATTTTTACCAAGAGGAAATGCTTCATGTAGTAGAAGAAAAGGTTTTCCATCATACAATACAAGAAAAAAAGGGTTTTTGAACCCGCAAAAGAGCGTTCTCGTTTAAATAATGAAAAGCACATTGCACAAATTTTTGCCTTTTATTGTTGCTTGCCAAAGTCTGTTGTTTGTTCAAAAGAATCATGCATTCACTTTTATGTGTTCAATAGCAAGAAGTTAAGAATTCAAGAAAAATGCTGAGAATTTAAGTGTTTATACCTTTTATAAATATGTGTGTGTCTAAAAACGAAAGAATTTAAAATGACTCAAATTAGAGCAGAATAAAAGGAAGTCAAATTTAGACAAAAAATCCTCAGTTATTATTTGATATATGTTTATCAAGTCAGTGACTTCCAAACTTTTTTGGTCGGTGACACACGCATACGATACATGAAATTTTCCGAATTTCTTGCGACACACTATTGTGCCGCGACACATTGTTTGGAATAAACTGTGAAATGTTATACTTTATACGCATCACATCCTCAAAAGATTTTTTTTTGTCATATCAAATTTATTTTCAAGTTAACAACAATACATGCTATTTTCAAGAGAAAAATTCACATCAACACACATTTTTTGCTTTTTAGCATTACTTTAAACATACAAAATATTTCAATGAATTTCGTTTATCAAAAAAATCAGAGATCGAAGCCGATCTTTTCGGCTTAACTCAATTTTTGATTTTTTTTGATAGAAAAAATCCATTTGACACCCATTTCAAGTATTTAAATTGAACTTTACATGCTTTACTATGATTCTGTGTAATATTTTGTCAGCATGCAGCTATAGTGAGCTCAGAATTTCAATTTAGCCGATTTTAAGCCGATCGGCTTAAATTTCGGCTTAACATTCTTTAACTTGAAATTCTGAGCTTACTATAGCTACATGCTGACAAAATATTACACAGAATCATAGTAAAGCATGTAAAGTTCAATTTAAATACTTGAAATGGGTGTCAAATGGCTTTTTTCTATCAAAAAAATCAAAAATTGAGTTAAGCCGAAAAAATCGGCTTCGATCTCTGAAAAAAATACATGTTGAAAAATTTTTCTTTAAAGATTCGTTCCATTCTGCAGTCATCATTGAAAATCCAATGCATATACAAAAGTTTGAGTACTCCGGAAATCGACGAATCCCCTGTAAAAATCAGGATGAAATTCTTTAAATTATAAACTATATAAAAAGAAACTTTTACAAACTATTTTTCTCTCATACACAGTCAGCGTTGATTCCGTTCTTTATAAAGAAAGAGCTAAGGATCATGTAAAGAAAAAAGTTTTGTGTCTGATTTCGTTGTGCTATAAAAGTGTAACTATAAATCAGACAGTTACGAAAAAGAAGCGTCTTTTATAGATTTAATAAAATGCATGACTGGTATGAAGCTCTATTGCGGAAGTGTGAAAGGAAAAGTAAAAGTTTTTGAGCTTTGATTTATTCTTTAAGCACTGATATTAAATATATTTATTCATACGTTTGTCTTTTGTAAAGCAAACCATAAAGTGCTTTGTTTCTTACTTCTTTCAAGGCTCAGACATTCATTGATCAAGTTTTATATATTCATACACTGAGCATAGGAGATGAAAAGTTAAAATTGTATCAGTTTGAAACTGGTAAGGACAGTGATTTAAAGTTTCTTGCTGATTATTATAGTAATGGTTTGTCTTATAAAATGAGAAATGAGATTTATGTATCGCAGGGATTAGTTTTCTTTGAGGATCGATTGATCGTTCCTAAGTCTTTGCGTGAAAAAGTTTTGTGTGATTTGAATGAAGGTCATATGGGAATGACTAAAACCTTGATATTCGCTAAAGAGTCTGTATTTTGGCCAAGTATGGCACAGAGCATAGAGAATCTTGTTAGTTCTTGTGAATTATGCAAAACGTTTGCAAAATCGAATAGGAAAGAGCCAATTATTCAGCATGAGATTCCTCCTAGAGCTTTTGAAAAAGTTGGATGTGATGTTTTAGAATTGCATGGAAAAAATTATTTAGTGTTGATTGACTATTTTTCCAAGTGGATTTGCTGCAAATATAACGAAAACTTTGATAGATGCTTACATGATGAATTCAGCATTGAGAAAACTTTTCTTTTTGTTTTTTTTTTTTATTTTTAATTCATTTTCAGAAGTTAGCAAGCAAAAAATTTGCACAACTAGTTTTAATTTAAAATATTAAAGTAGTGTTAAGGAAGTTAAATTATTTCAATTTTAAGTGCATCACATGTGTATTTAAAAGATAGAACTTTAAATCTGATTTGAATCTAAGGGGTTGCTTTAATCGATATAAAACTTGATCAATGAATGTCTGAGCCTTGAAAGAAGTAAGAAACAAAGCACTTTATGGTTTGCTTTGTTTCATCACTTTTTCTTCATAGTCTCTATCAACGTTACAACTTGTGTAACGAGATAAATAGTCAGCGATGGGAATCTTACTACCTGGTTTATAGTCTAAATGCAAATCATACTTATAAAGCTTAAGACGTAATCTTTGTAGTCTTCTGGATCCTATCTTTGACAAATCTTTAAGCATGATACTCTCAAGAGGCTTATGATCCGACTTCACAATCACACGACGACCATAAACATAATCATGAAACTTTTTGCACCTAAAGAAAACTGCCAAAAATCTTTTTCAATCTGCCCATATTCCTTCTCAATATCAGACAAACATTTAGATTCATAACATATGATATTTTCACCTTGCTTCAAACATGCACCCAAACCATACGACGATGCATCCGTTTCAAGCTCTAAAGGTATTTTTTCATCGAATAAAGTACAACAAGCTGAATCTTTTATAACACATTTAAGATTCTCAAATTCAACCTGATGTTGAGCTTGCCAAACAAATTCACTATCTTTTTTAAGTAAATCTCTAATATTATGCGTTAACTTCGGTAAATGAGGAATGAAGTTTCGCATATAATTGACAACACCTAAAAATTTCTGAACATCATTTTTATTAGTCGGAACTGGAATGTCCGTGATTGTTTCAATTCTAGCTGGGTCAATCCTTACATTATTCTTCGAAAAAATATCGCCAAAAAACTTGACCGAAGTTTCAGTAAACTGAACTTTTTTCGAATTGAACTTAATGCCATTTTCTCTGGCTCTTAGCATAGCTGTTCTAACATTTAAGTCGTGCTCTTTTAAATCCTTTCCAAAAATAATAATGTCGTCAATATAAAATTTGACACCTTTCAAATCTCCAAAGGTATCATACATATATTTTTGGAAAGTTTCTGAAGCTAATTTGATGCCGAAAGGTAAATAATTAAATTGGTACATCCCAAACGGAGTGCTAAAACTACACAATTTTCTAGAATCCTCGTCTAATTCAACATGCCAAAATCTATCTTTCAAATCTAAAACACAAAAGAATTGAGCATCCTTTAAATCCTGCTTTAATTCATCAAGTGATGGAATTGGATAACGAAAATTCTTAAAGGCATTATTCAAGTGTTTAGGATCCATACAAATTCTTACTTTATCAATTTTCTCAACAATTACAATATTATTAATCCATTCACGCGGTTCATTCACTTTCTCAATCACACCTAGATTTTCCATCTCATTCAATTTATTTTGGACTTTATCCTTTAATTTTAATGGAATTTTACGAGGTGCTGCGGCAAATCGAATAGCTTTTTCATGTAAATATAATTTGAAAGGCTTTTTAAATTTAGCTAAACCTTCAAAAACATCCTTATAATGCTGTTTAAACTTAACCATTTCTGTATCATTATGAAGATGTTTTACATTATTAATGGCGTCAATGCGCGAAATCAAATTCATATTTACATAGGATTTTAATCCCAGCAATGGCTCGAAATCTCCTTTCAAAACTTCAAATTCTTCATAGAATGTATTCTTAACACTAACTTTTGGCAATATAACTTTGCCGATGGGCTTGATCATCCCACCCGAGTAAGCTTAAAGCTTAACTTTACTTGGAATGATTTCAAAATTTTGCTTAAAACTCTTCACTATTCCTTCAGTAACTGTATTAATTTGTGCTCCTGTATCTAATTTAAATTTAACCAACTTGTCACTAATTTTCAAATTCTTATACCAAATCAGACTACTAAGAAAGTTGACTGAATCAGAACTAACAATAAACTCTTCTTTGCTATTATTCTTGTTTTTCATTGCACCAACCTTTCCTCCTTCTTTACATACTGCTTCGCTACATTCAAGCTGACAGTCATTCATATACTTGCTAGCTGCAGGCTTAAAGACTTTCGAAGACTCTTTGGTACAATTGTAGTTGTTAGAAGACTTTTTATTGCTGATCTTCAGATTCATTTCTTCCTTCAAGTTTGCCAATTCATCGATCTGCCATTCATGGAAACGCACTTTCTCAATTATAGCATGTAATGAAAATTCTTCTTCAACAATTCATTTTTCTTGCATTTTTGAATTTTTCATTCCGATCACCAACCGATCTCTAATTTGTTCTTCTTTCTCCTTGAAGTCACACTTTGTAGCCAACTTTCAAACTCTTGACACGAACTGAACAAATGTCTCTGTATCGTCTTGGAACGCTTGATAGAACTTCATTCGATTCACATAAATGCTTGTTTTCAGTCTAAAGCAATTTTCGTAACCATCGATGACTTTTTCAAAACAGTTCTTATCCTCTTCAGACAATCCTAGATGATCGAACAAGTCAGCTGCATCATTTCCAACGAGTAACGTCAGATATGAAATTTTGATTTTGTCGTTTTTGCTGATAATTTCGTTGATTTCAAACAAACAGTTTATTTGACTCTTAAATCTCTTCCATTCTTCACTCAAAGAGTTTGCGTTTAGGCCGATTGGAGTCACCAAATCACTAATTTTCAACTGCGCCATGTTATATCTTTGAGATATGTTTATTCTGATTTTCATATATCATGTTTACTATGATTTTCTTATTATACAACAGTATATAATATCTAAAAGCACTTTAGAATGTATTAATTATGCATTTTGTGTTCAAAATAAAGTGAAAAGGAAGTAATTTATGATTTACTTGTATAATACTACAAAAAGTATTGAGAATATCATTTTATGTTAAAACAACATTAAAAATCTTATTAAATTTAAAATTTATAATTTGCCTTAGTTTTGAATTGAGTTTTTAAAATTTTTAATTTTTCTTGGTACAAATTCTTCACTGTGTCCTAATAAAATATTATTTTGTTTTAAAACACTCTTAGTATGTTTATAACTCTCAAAGGGTTGAACGGTTGTGACAAGCAAATGGGAAATGTTATTATTAGTAGTATTTTCTTTTCCTTTTCTTGCTTCTCTCTTGTAATAATACACTTCAATGGCAAGTACAAGCATCGCAATTACTGCAAAAGGTTAAGGATAATTTAAAATTTTAACAATAAGAAAATTTAAAGCTCTTGCCTAGACCAACAATCGTCGCAATAAAAATGCCTCCAAGTGAGTCAAGTGTGATACCTTCAGAATTGTCACTGTCTTCACAATCTCCTTTTAAAGATGAATTCCAATACATTCCCAACAAATCTTCGAAAAAGTGACGTTTTTGTAGTTCAACTATCGTACGAGTTAATTCATCCTAATAAATCAAAGAAAACGTTTTTTTTTTTTTTTTATTTTAATCTATAGCAATTGTTAATTTCTTCTTTACAAAAAAAAGTTCCTTATATATAATAAGCTTTCTATTAGATTTAAAATTACCTGTAGTTCAGATCCTTGTTGCACAGCTTAGCAAAAATAATTTAGTTTAAATTTTAGGAAAATGAGAAAGTCAGATTTTTACCAATAGCATAAGGTTGATCAGCAAATGTGTCACCCACAACAGAGAAGTTACAATTTCGAGACAGTTCATATTTAATATCATTAACATCATGTATGAAAGCAAAATCCTCTCGCTCATTGACAATTCTAAATCCTTCGCTTGCATTTGGTAAAGTCTTAGCACTTTCAATTGACATTAAAATTGATGAATACTGTTCTTTTAGAGGATAATCCCATACTCTTGACGTACACAATACAAACATACAAAATGTATGGAGGATATAGAAATAATGATAAAGAGAAAATATTTAATGGGAAATGAAGGAAATGAATCGTGAATGGTATGAGAAACATGAGATTTGCTTCAATGTCATTGTATAAAGTATGTAATTCATATAAATACGATAATACCTATAAACAGACTCGTCACTTGATGCATTCAATGTCGTTTGTTTCCATAGATCGTAAAGTTTATCTTCTGCATGTTTCATATTTTTGAAGTATTGATGCGCATCCGAACCTTCAACAACAGTATAGGCAATCCGACTTTGACGTGAAAGCTGCTCAAGTGACTGTACCGGTGTTTGCATTCTTTCAACAGTTAAGAATGCTTTATTGAGAAAAATTTAAACTTGATTAATGAAAAAGTGGAAGAAGTAATAAAATAATTGAATTAAACCTGCAAGATTAGCAGTAAACGTAGCAAGCATTAGAACAACAAAAAGCCAGTATGTAGCAACAACAACTCTTCCACTAAATGCTTTTGGTACTTCACCACCACCTTTAATAAAAATTTATTAAAATTAGTCACTTAATCAAATTTAAATAAATTATTTAATTTACCTTGTGGTGTGAAAGATGTCAATGCAAACCAAATACTTTCACGTAATGTAAATTCTCTTTAAATCATAAATTTGAATATCGATTATTATGGTAAAGGATTAATGCATTTTCATCTACCTTGATTCCTCGTTGTATTTAAAATTTCGAGCGCTATATGGAGAAAGTAATTCCAAAATCCATAATACGATTGCTGTAATTCCAATGGCACCACAAATGCTCAACCATACTTCAAGTTTTAAAACAGTCATAAATTTAAAAAGTGATCTGTCAGGAATTGGTTTTTTCATCACTATTGAAATTCCTGTTTGTTCAAAATATGGTGCGACAAAATCAATAACCTCCTCTCGTTCTGCTGTCATTTTTAGTGCAGCTACAATCATATCAGTTTCACCGAGAATTAAATCGCCTATTACCCCATCAAATGAATTATCAGATATTCTTTCACCGAATGTTCCGGATTTTGGTAATACTAAATCATAGATAAAATTCATTTCAATGGATAATGCTTCAATGAAATCAATGCAATATCCCTCCCAAAGAGGTTGATTTTTTTCACCAAGTACAAATTTTCCTGTGATCGGATCCTTTTTTCGATAAGTCCATGGAATTCCTTCAACAATTCCAATGCGAAAATATCTTTTTATTTTTTTCAACCCATTTCTATTTGTTATTTGGAAACCATTTTTGTCAATAGTTGCAATATTTTCAATGTTTTCTGATGATGTAACATTGCTTTGAGTATAAAGGCTAAAACTCAATTTCTGCCAAACTTTAAAATTTAAATCAGCATAAACTAATTTGTTATCTTCAAGTGCTTTTGATAAATCACCAAACAATTTTTCGTCAATGCCAATATTTAAATCTTCGTGGTTTGTATCATTGCCACACATTAATTTGAAAATGGGAAAATCGTTCTTTTCAAAAGCTAAGATTATTTCATTTAAAAACGATGAAAGCGTTTCTGAATAAATCTTTAAATTAAGTTAATCATGAAAAAAAAATTTTTTTAATTTTTTTTTGTTTTAAATGTTGATCAAATCGTAAATCATCTTTAATTTTTTTTTTATAAAATAAAATATGACTATAAATACCTTTAGGAGCGATGAACAAATAAAACTTGTATTACTGCAGAAATTTTTATTTAAAATCAGTCGGCTCATTTCCGGATACATATTAAAAAACTTGAATTTTTTTGCATTATAATCAGTAAACATCAAATTCCATCGTTCTGGTAAAATAATCAATTCATTATCAAGTAGCTAAGGAAGATAAGAGACAAAAATTATGTTTCAATTCTATTTTTTAAATGAGGTACAATCCAAGTAACCAAAATGTTCCATATAATCTTCCTTCGACGTCGTTGGAAGATCAAATGTAATGATACATTATTTATTATATCATAGAAATAGAAATCATCAAATCATCAAAAAATAGTTTTTGCAGGAAAATAATATTTGTTCTAAATTTGGCATTTGCCATAGAATCTGTTGCATAGGCCGGGCCGAATAATTCTCCAGAATTATTCTGCAGAATAATTTATTGCATTCTGCAGAATTATTCTGGAGAATTATTTAAAATTCTGCAGAATTAATTCTGCTTAAGAAACATGCGAATCGCAAAAAAAAATCTGGAGAATTCTGTAACACAATTTTGCAGAATTATTCTCCAGAATTCTCGAGAATTTATTTCAAGCAATGTCACGCAACATATATGCAACATTTTTTTCAAACAGAATAATTCTCCAGATTTTTCAAAAATTCTGCTACAACAAAAACGTCATTAGAATTAAAAAACATATTTCTGCGAAAATATATGAAATATTACTTATTTATTCTCAGTATTAATACTAAACATTTCAGAGTGATATTCTTTTACTTTATTTTTTGATAAAATGTATGTGTATTATTTCACTGTTCATTCATATTCCTCGGGTCTTCTTTACTTAGTTGCTCTCAAACAACGTATTAGAAATAATCCTATTCTTCGTAAAGATTTTAAGGATTTTATATTATATTTTGAAAGAAATTGGATGGGACGATACAATAAAGCAGATTGGTGTGTCTCACACTGCAAACGTCGTACAAACAATGATGTCGAAGGTCATAATAATTTCATTAAATTAACAATGCGTCAAAATCCTTCTCCGTGGACCTTCATAGATAGTTTGATCGACTTAGTTTATGATTCTTTGGCAACAGTTGCAGCTAATAAGCGAAGCAGCTCTCAAAATGACAAGTAAAATTTCACGGGTTTTACCAAAATATTTAAATATTTAAAAATGATCGAAGAAAATCGATTAACTGAGCTTGAGTTTTTAGAAAAATTAATTGAAATATATTGATCATAAGTAAAACTTTATAAATAATAGAATTTTTGTTGGTTTTGGTTTTTTTTTTCTTTAATAAATAATTTCATATATTTTCGCAGAAATATGTTTTTTAATTCTAATGACGTTTTTGTTGTAGCAGAATTTTTGAAAAATCTGGAGAATTATTTTGTTTGAAAAAAATGTTGCATATATGTTGCGTGACATTGCTTGAAATAAATTCTCGAGAATTCTGGAGAATAATTCTGCAAAATTGTGTTACAGAATTCTCCAGATTTTTTTTTGCGATTCGCATGTTTCTTAAGCAGAATTAATTCTGCAGAATTTTAAATAATTCTCCAGAATAATTCTGCAGAATGCAATAAATTATTCTGCAGAATAATTCTGGAGAATTATTCGGCCCGGCCTATGCAACACACCCTTTGCCATATACTTCACAAAATTTACTAAATTTGTATGGGGCTTTCAATTAATTATTTATCTTTCTAAGGTTTGTGTGCGAGTCTTGGGCGTTCATCAGTATGCAACTTAATTAAATTAAGTCTTTTAGTTCTTTTTCGTAGTGTTAGTGTACTTTAATTAAGTACACACTAATACTTTTACAATAATTTACACAAATAAAAGAAAAATACAAAAGAATATGTGGAATTTAGCACGTGTTTTTATCCCAAAAAAGTAATCCATTTGTATTTCTTCGATGTATTAAATTGAATTCTTATTACATTGTATATTTATCTTCTAATATCATAGGACATCATCTTCCGATGGATAATACATGGATAATACATATGTATCATCCATGGAAGATTCTCATTGAATACATTGATCTACCTTTTGGTTACTTGGTAATCATTCCAGTCTTAGTATTTTTATATCAGATTTTGAATATTTTTTATACAAGGTGCAATCAACAAGCAATACAGATCTGACCAAATATTTTAAATTAATTTGAAATGAGAATATGGTAATCTTCTGTAATATTATAATTTTATAGTTACCTTTTTAAAAATTCTTTCCATATTTTGAGTATCTGAAATTATTGTATACGAATCTGCTATAGGACGTAATGCTTTCAGATTCTCAATAGAATTTGCTGTCAATCCATTCAATATTATGACACGTAATTTTGAATTTGCAGCAAAGAAATATAAAGCTTCATCAGCCACTGATAATGCAAAAATCCGTTGAAAAATGAAAAGAGCATAAAATATAGAATACTCAGTTTTTACGCATTTAAAAATATAGACGCAATTAAATTGTAAATTACTCGTTTGATCTTGAAGAATAAACACAGAGTTTATACTAGTGCGAAAGTTAATATATTGTTCCATCATTTTTACAAACGACTGAATCGAAAAATCGAAATTATAGTAAGGGACTTTCTGCAATTCTAGAATTTTATGAATTTCTGTTGAACCTTCTAATGTGGCATCAATTAAAACTGACAGGTTGCTTATATTCTCGACTATTTTACAAACTACATTAGATAATAAAAAAAGAGTGGTAATGAGTTAAAAATACAGAAATAATATTACTTACCATCTTTTCCAGTACCTTTATTCATTTGATTATTGTATATTATTTCATGAAAATTTATTTCAAAGTGCGAATACTTCTGTCTAAATCCATTTATTATCTCATTTGCAGCTTTTTTGAAATTTTCATTTGAATTTTCATAGAAGAAAACTTTATTGTTTCATATATTTTAAAAATTTGGTGTCGTAAGACAGGAAGGTAAATTAATGATTATTATTACAACCACTAGTCTTAAAGAAAAAAATTACCAATATCTATTGCATTCCTAGTTCCTTTATCAGTCACATTGAAAAACACTTTTTCACTTGAATCATTTTGTGCATAGGTTTTTTGAGTAATAAATATTTGGAACAGTGCTAGAAGTATAACAATTGAAGAGATTTTAAGCATTTGAATTTTTTTGAAAGGCATATTTAAATCTCAATGAACTGATTGAATTGCTTGTATCTATCAAACTAATATGAAAAGAATGTCTTTTAAAGGTTTTATATTTATAACCTTATTTAGCATGCTATGCGCTCTTTCTAAAGTATGGTCCCACGTAACCAAAATCGCCGTCAATGAAAAAATCGACTTAAATGTACAATTTTTTGGATGATCCAATAGACGTCGATTTTTCATCCATTACATTCGTTTTTCTTGAGCCGCTATATACTTCACAAGTGCAATCAGAAATCACTTATATAAGGCACAGCCAAATTTTCATACAAAGCGTGATTAATTAATTAAATTAATTACAAGCGAATTATTCATCTAAATGATAACAAACATACAAAAAAAATTCAAAATTTTTCCGTTAATCGGTTTTTATATTGTAACGGTCAAAAAAAATTTGATTTTGGTTCAAAAAAAAATCGACGTGAAATCGACGTAAAATCGACTAAAAATCGTCCCTTTTCATATTAGCATAATGTCCAATGTACGATACATGGAATGTACATATGGAACATACATGGAAGATTTTGATGTAATACATAAAATCTTCCATTCGTCGACTTATGGTTACGTGGGGTACGTAACATGAAAATCGATTAAATGAAATAAATTATAGACATTTGTATTCACAATTCATCAATTTTCTAACGTTACAAGGTTCTCATAAGATTTGTACTTTTTATAATCTTAATAAATGTTCTTTACCCATTTTCTGATTCCACCCCTTTCTCTTTGAGTTGATTTAAATAAAACATTATTCAAAATTGCTACATTCATATTGGAGATAGACTGATTTAATATGATCAGGGCTCTACTTTGGTATTGTAAACTTTTTAAAAATGTCAAGAATATTATTGTGAAATCAAACCAAGGCCCTTCAAGAATTCTATTGTTTCTTTTCGAAAAATGACTTTTATTTCCGAATCAAATAAGTAAAAAGTCATATTCAAATTTGAAAAATTTCCGGCTTCGACCCTGTCTTCACTATAATTGTTCACATATAATGTGGATCTATTATTTTTGCTATTAGAAAAGGAACTTTTCATATCATAGTGAGTTAACAACAAAATGTTAACTTAAACTGAAGTAACCAAGTTTAAATGTGTATATTTAACAAATAATTAATATTTTGAGCTATGTTTTATTCAAAATGATTATGATAAAATTATCCTTTACATTACGAAATGTTATTGTTGTTCAAGAAGAGTATGATATTGCTTTATAATATGGACTATGAAGCAGTCATAAATATCTGTTAAATGTCTTTTCGCAGTCATGTTTTCACCTTGGGACGCACGAATTTTTTCTTTACAACAATGTTCATGAATTTTCCTAATTTTATTGAAGGAAGTTCCTTAAATGATGAGTAGATAAATTTTTTATGATTTCCAATTAATTCTTTGTTCTGTATTTTAGGTTTTTAAAGAAAACTAGTGTATCGGGTAGAAACCCAATGCGGATATATTCACACCGTACCATCAAAAGTCTTATGTATAGACCAAGATTTGCTCAGCATAAGTTTGAAGGGTGGGCGTGAAGTACAGCCAAAACCCATATCGACACAGTTCAAAAGTTATACCTAATTTATGTTAT